TTCATGTTGTGTAAAGAGGGGCAGCATGTTAGATGCAGGTTGGAACCAAATTCCAGGTTTGGTGACCACTGATGTACACTGTATTCTGAGTTTTATATTGTAATTTAATAATGGTAAATATGTGGTAAATCTAAAAAATATATGTTTGGGAGGATGACCATGCCTGAAGTTCCTCCTTCTTCCAATATAACATTCTATAAATTTTAATCTCTACCTCGTGTTTGACATGAGTTTCACCCCGCCACTCCATTTCTTCCCTGTTTCTTATCTGTCAGTCCTACCTCTACTCATCAAGGGGGGTCAGGCCCTCTAGCTTAAGCAGAAAGGGCCCAAAACTTCAGGCCACGTTCTTTGAGTTCTCTCTCCTTCTACGCTTATACATTCTCCTCTTATACTACAACTGTATGTTTGAAGATATGGTCAGAGCTAGCAGCGTTTTTCCCTACAGTGCCCTGCATATTCTCTCTACCAGGTTTAATAAAATGTATTTTAGGTAGTATAGCCATCTGTCTGGGAAAAAATTATTCCATTCTCTGACACAAAATGTCCAGAATTCACACATTTTCAAATGAAGTTTAAACTGCTTTTTTCATCCAATTAAACCATTTGTATACAAAGAATGGGTTTGATTAGTTCAGATTACCCTTAATGTAGGACAACTGTTTGGGAAATCGACAGAATTTGCCAATTTCTGAATGTACTAGAGAAGTGTGGTTTTACTGCACAGGGAGTCTGTGTATTTGTATAAAATGGTCAGTTTGTGTGTTGGCCAGCGTGTGTGCGTGACAGGCTATTTGGTTTGATGTGTGTGTGTTGAGAGAGGGGTTGATTGAACACTGGCCTGAATGTTGGCTTGTCCAGACTCGCCCTCTCAGTAATTATCCTCCCACATGTCACTCATTAGCCTGCTTGGCAGGAGTGTGTGTGTGTGTGTGTGTGTGTGTGTGTGTGTGTGTGTGTGTGTGGTGAGAGGGTAAACAACACTCAGCATCAGCAGCACAACATCAGCTGAAGATCTGTAAGGACACAGAGATGAGGTACAACTTTCCAGTATTTCAGCATAGAATAATAATGCTCCATCTCAAACTGCACAATGGATTCTACAGTTTATACATCTGCAGTTGAAGGTCATGATCAGCAGTATGTCTGCAGCTGAAATTAATGGATGTTATACATCATTGGGCGTGATGGACGCATTCTGTGCCTCACAAAGCATCAGTCAGCAGGTTAGCACTGACATGAACTGGATGGTCATCAGCTTTAATACTGTAGAAGAGCACATCACATTATGACCACACCTGCTGAGGTCATTGCTGTAGCCAAGCAGAAGAGAAGGAGAGAGATATAAGATGATATCCATCAAACATGAATGATAAAATGTTTAAAATATAATAATAATAATAATAATAATAATAATAATAATAACTATTTATCTTTTCATACCAGTAGCAGGTAACTATCATACAAGGGAAAAAATAAACAAAAGTTGAGTATTTATGTAACAAATACACTAGTAAAACAATGAAACAGTGCCATAGATCAAGTAATAATCAAGTGAAACAATTAAGATGGAATGAGATAAAATAAAGTGCTTTTTAGGTTATACCCTGTTGTAACTGTGATATTCGTTAGGCAACAGAACACAAGAGGGAATAGTTTTGGTGCCGATCATCCCAGCTGTGTTGTTATTTGTGATAACACATGATCTTGAGTGTTCTGTTGCTTTTATACAACAGTTCTGCAAAATAAATAAAATAAAAATATAAAAATAAAGAAAGCCCCAACTATTGTATCACATGTGCTTTAATATTGGCAATATTTCTCTGCCAAAACAGAAATACCCTTTTGTGGGTAGAGCTATAAAATTGTCACACTATTGGGGTCAGTTCAGCTTTTTCAATATTTATTCAGTTAGCCCAAATGTCGTTTTATTCCAGTCAGTCTATAAAGCATTTCACAGCACATCATGTTTGCTGAATAGTATTCTATGCTGGCTAACTCCAGTTTGTTTAGTTGTTCCGTTGTCACAGCTGCCAACTCGAAAAAGCTTGTTTAGGGGCAATGTTGGGATCTGTTCTTCAGAATATGACTTAATGAGCAGAAGGTCAAATATCCTATAGAAGCTATCTACTATTTAGATTTTCTGTTTTTGTATGTGTTAAAGAAGAAAACTAGAAATGGTTAGCTGTGGCGTAAAGCGAGACTTACTGTAGTAACCAAGGCTCAAAAACATGATGCACTGAACACAACATGAATGAACAATATGAAACAATATGAAATATGCCAACAAGAGAGATGGCCGTGTCTGGTCAGTGAGTTCACGTTGGCTGAGAAAGTTAGAAAAATGTGGGAAAAGGGGGAAAAAAATAATGTTGCAGTTTTGCAGTCCAAAAAATACACCTTTATATACAAAATATTATCAGTTATACATCATAAAATTAATTACGTGGGTTCGATTCCCTGGCTGGGTGACCAGGGTCCTTTCTGTATGGAGTTTGCATGTTCTCCCTTTGTCTACCCAGGTTTCTTCTGGGTGCGCTGGTCTCCTCCCACAGTCCAAAGACATGCAGTCAGGCTGCTTGAGGATGCTAAATTGCTCCTTGGTGTCAATGTATATGTCTGTGTGTCTGCCCTGTGATGGACTGGCGACCTGTCCAGGGTGTTTCCTGCCTTCTGCCCAATGAGAGCTGGGATAGGCTCCAGCACCCTCTGCAACCCAGAAGGATAAGCGGCTTAGAAGATGGATGGATGTATATTTATTGACATCCAGAGAAATTGCATAAATAAATTGCATAAGCAGATCACGCTAGTTGTGTCAGGGCCTTTATTGTGAAAAAAATGTGCTGTTACAAGAGCACAGGTAGGACACTTCTAAACTAATCAGATTGTCGTCAGAAAGTGAATCTGCCATGCCAGAGCATGTTTAATCAAAATTTATTATTAAATGATTGAAATTTACTGTATTCCATAGCAGGTCTCAAAACAGTTAATATTTAGCCACAAGATTGGATGCTGGGCTCCATTTGTGGGAGCCCAAGAAGGAGCAGTGCTGGTGATTATGAATGTTACACTGTCTCTGCTCTTATTTCTATTTCATTTAGCCTCTGCCTCTTTACCTCTATCATTCCTTCATTCATCCCCTGCCATTGTACCTCTCTCTCTCTCTGCTCATTTCTCCCCAAGAGATTCTTTTATAGAAACACCTCTTTCTCATTTTCTCCCTCTTCCTTCAACATATTCCATAATCTGCATTCCTGTAAGTCACTTTTTGTGAGCAGATTGTTTCTCTCTTCTCCTTCATGAGAATCTCTTCTCTTTTGGTGTTTGCCGGTTTCCCCAGCACTTCGTTCCCCTCCCCCTTCTTCCTGCTTCTGCACTCCATTTCTCCTTTCCTTTTAAAATCTAATGCCCCTCTCTCTGACTGTTCCATTCCACTGCTTTTTCCCAGACTGAGATGGTGCAGTGCTGGCCTCACAGAGCTACACAACCGCGGTCTCAGACCAAACACAGGCTTTCCGCCCGAGTACAGAGACGAGAGGCTGATCCTAACGATAGATGAAAAGCGCCTATTTGTGTGTTTGTGTTTATCTGTGTGTGTGTGTGTGTCTGAATGCTCAGTGCCTCAGACAAAACACCCTCACTCCCCACAAACGGCCAACAAAGCACATCCAGGGAATTCTGTCTGTTTGACTAAGTACTGGGTGACCCAGATATAAAGTGCCTGTGGAGGGAGACTTTGTGAGAAGCAATATGCTGTGGAAGGAGCTGTAAACTGAGCAATGTGGATGGCTTTTAGAAGAATGGCTAGATAAGTGCTTGCAGGGCAAAGTGGTCCCTAGAAGCCCCATTAAATGTGGATATATAATTAATCAATAGGTAATGTCTGCCAATTTGTTGCCAATTACAAACTAATAAAACCTGAGTCTACTTAGGTGGACGAAAAATAGAAAGTCCTTTATGAAGCATTTATCCAGTCTTGGCAAGTGACTGTCATTGCAGGCCAGAGTATTTTGTTTTCATCAGTTGTGAACGTGGTATCATATTTGTATCAGCAGACAATTGCTTTATCAGCACAGGTTGCACGACAGATGTTTATATATGACTGATATTTCAAACTGATATTTGATGATGTATTTGATGATGTGCTTAGACAAAAAAATATCTGTGTTTTATTCATTTTACTGCATTTGTAACTCTCTCCAAATACATATCATATTTCTTTGTAACGCTAATTCAGGTAGATGAACTCCTCATTTCTACATTTTACAAATGCATCAGCACCAGCACTGGCAGATTTTGGCCCACAGTTCCCATGTTGCTGCATCCCTAGTTTAAACCACCTTGCCAGTGGCTATTACAGTACTGACTTGTCCTCTACAGAAAACCAATCTCATCCATACTTATTCACATCTCATCCTCCAGTGTAAGAGGGGTCAGACCCCCATAGGGCTCATTGTCTATCACTTAGACCACACAACTGGCATATGCTGACCTTGCCAGGGGCATCTTGCAATTCCCGATGAGGGGGCTACAGTTAAATTTAGCCCAGAAAGGTGGAGGGGAGTTAGGCTGGCGCCACTCTGCCATCCTCCGCTGTCCTTGAGCTCAAGCGGTGACCTTGAGTTTTAGCTGCAGCAGCAATAAAAGGAGAAGGGCTTAAGTGACGCACTCCTGTTGACACGGCAGTATTCTGTGGCGCACGGAGAAACTGAACTAGCAACTTTATCCTGGCTGAATTCCTTTAAATTCTGCTGAAACAGCTGTTAGTGGGCAATTAGTATTGCTATGATGGAGCATTTGACCCTTTGCTCTGTTGTCTGTACAGCTGGGAGAAAATGTTCTTGGAGGAAATGTGCTGGTGAGCTGTTCCTTATTTAACAGAGTATCAGTTGGTTTTTGAGGATTTGATGTCAGTGATTCTTAGAATATTCATTCAGAACTCTGAATGATACTCTTTTCCATGCTCTGCTAACTGTCTTTCTTCTCTTTTTTCCACACAGTGGGTGGCTTTTGCATCTCTGTTTTTCATCCTGGTGTCCATCACAACATTCTGTCTGGAGACTCATGAGGCCTTTAACCCCATCATCAACCGCACAGAGATTGAAGTGGTAGACAATGAAACCATAGAGCGAATTTACCCCGAGACTGAGACCATGGTGGAGCTCACGTACATTGAGGGAGTCTGTGTTGTCTGGTTCACCTTTGAGTTCTTGATACGAATCACGTTCTGTCCTGACAAGCTCAAATTCGTAAGAAATGCACTCAACATCATTGACTTTGTGGCCATCCTGCCTTTTTATTTGGAAGTGGGACTGAGTGGCCTCTCTTCCAAAGCTGCAAAAGACGTGCTGGGCTTCCTGCGTGTGGTGCGCTTCGTCCGGATTCTGCGTATCTTCAAGCTAACGCGGCACTTTGTGGGTCTTCGGGTGCTGGGACACACGCTCCGTGCCAGCACCAATGAATTCATCCTCCTCATCATCTTCCTTGCTCTCGGAGTCCTCATCTTTGCCACCATGATTTATTACGCTGAACGTATCGGAGCCAATCCCAATGATCCTCGCGCTAGTGATCACACACATTTCAAGAACATCCCTATCGGTTTCTGGTGGGCTGTGGTTACAATGACTACGCTTGGCTACGGTGACATGTATCCTCAGACAACATTAGGCATGTTGGTGGGTGCCCTTTGTGCTCTGGCTGGTGTGCTGACCATTGCCATGCCCGTACCCGTGATTGTCAACAATTTCGGCATGTATTACTCTCTGGCAATGGCAAAACAAAAACTACCAAAGAAAAAGAACAAGCACATTCCCCGGGTTCCCCAACTGGGGTCCCCCAACTACTGTAAGTCGGCCATTAACTCTCCAAGACCCAGTACGCACAGCGACACCTGCCCCCTGGCCCAGGAAGAAGTCTCTGAGATAAGATACCAAGGTAGGATATCTGTACCTGATTCACAAGAGGAAGTCATTTGCTTTGTAAGTAGGCAGTGCCAGTCAGTGCACTAACAGCAATAGCACTGCCATTTGCTGTAACCCTCGATGTGTTTGCATTACTGCAGACAGTGTGAAAAGGTTAGTGCCCTAAGTAAATTAATCATGAATTTAGAGAGTATACAGTTGTATGCAAAAGTTTGAAAACGTCTGGTCAAATGATATGTTTCGTTGATCTTTTAAGTGAAAACAAGTGAATGCATCCTTTACAGAGAACACACTTGGCATTCAAATATTCGTGCATAGTTACTACTTACTTACTTGCTGGACTGTTTTGATTTTTTCCCAGTATGCTAAAGTCAGCAAATAAACAGCAATTGTGCAGAAGTGTGTTCTTTGTGTAGGATGTGTTCACTTATTTTTACTTAGACAGTCAACAAAACATGTCATTTGACCAGGGGATTTTTCCATATGACTGCGATGTTAAAATACTGAAATATTGGTACTTTAGACACAAAGCTTTTAGAAGTCTTCAAAAAAGTTTTCAACATTAATTCTCCAGATGTTTTGATTTTGTTCATGAAATATGACTTTTTTCTTAATTTTGGGGAATTTTAACACTTTTTAATCTAGTATACAATTTAATATAGTGCACTTTTAATTATTTACATATATAATGCTCCTAAATCACTATCATAAAGGTGTTTTTTGGAACAGGTTTGTCTACATTCAGATGTCTTTTAGAATTCCCAGAATGCATTATCTATAAGGATTTGTACAGTGATAGAGTGTTTGCTGTTTTGGCTTTGTAATCCAGCTCATTGGATTTTTGATGAAAAGACGTTTCTACTGTACCATTATGCCCAAGCAGAATCCAGGAAATAAGCATTACAGGGCTAGTTGTATATGTTATTTTGAGGCATCTCTTCCATTCCATTTGAATCTAGTTTGAGGCTGAGCTCTAGTCAGCATCATTCTCTTTGTGTCTACATTTGAATTACAGTTGGGTGAATTGACACAGAACTGTATTCATGTGTAAATGATAATATGATCAAAATAAATAGTTAAAAGCAAAATGTTAATGACCATAAGTAAATTGTTAAAAGCAAAAATGAAACACTCTAGAAGTAAAAGACCAAATACTGTGCATGTTTAGTATTACATGTATAATAAAATTAGTGAAGATCCAAAATATTCCTAGCTAAAATGTTACATATTTCATAATCAGTCGTGTACAGTGTCAAGAAGCAAGTCGGCACTGGAGAACTTAGCAATGACAGGCCGCTGAAGATTACAGTAGGAGATGACGGAAGAAAAATATCCCTATTCCAGCACTAATCAGCTGTTATTATGCAAATGTTAATGCTTTGGTGAATCAGGCATCCCTCCCTTCATTTCCTCCTCCTGCTCTGTCAAAAACACATTGAGAAAATGATGTCTGCTGTCATCGGATCTTTGCAATTACCAACAGCATCCGGAGTCCTTTCAATTACTCGACTGTGAGACATCAGACTCAAGCAGCCGTATGAGTCTGGCTTCCTGGAGGTCATACTTAGGTAAAATGCTGTGGCTTCCTGATTGCTGTGAGCACTGAATTACTTTAGTGGAGACATTTCAAACCTTGCTTCTAGAGAGCTACACCCTTTTCAGTTCCAACCCTAATACACCACAGGGAATGGTGAGGAATTGTATATCCAATTCATATTTCATGTACATATCTGCAGATGCCAATACATAAACATTTATAAAATGTAGACATTGGGACTATATAAACTCAGTGTTACAGAGAAATTTATTTCTGTAGAGAAACATTTATTTCAGGAGGGTTACAAATGCAGTAAAATGGATAAATGCAGATATTTTAGCACAATATCCCAGTGCTGCATTAACATTATACTCCTCTGGAGTACAATTAAATATCAGTTCAAAATATTGGCCAGAAATAAATATCTATCCAATGCTGATAATTTTTTAAGCAATTCAGTACCGATATGATTCCAATATCATTGTGCATCCCTAAATTCAGCTATTGAGGGCCCCATGAAAATACAAATGAGATGTACTGCATGTGTTGATGTAAATAACCTATTGTGAATTATATATACATTATAAAATTGCACAACTTAGAGCCCAGATCCTCAACTAATTCAAAAATTAGAATGGGACACCATTCCTGTCTTTTGCCTAGGGCCCTATAATGGTTTGAATCAAGCAGGGAAAACTCTAAAGCCGGCAATGATGTGGTCCTTTAGGAACGCAGTTTAACACCACTTTACATGTAGAAGTTATTCTAAATGTGACATTTGCACCTGAAGTCTGTTGCTATTATTTCCATCAAGACCAAAGCAGTGCTAATGTCAGTAAAGCAAGGCCATTAAATCAAGATTAAATCAATCCAATACATAGCTAAAATATTAGGTGTGTCGAGCTGTATGGTTCCATGTCAAGAAGCAAGGAGGCACTAGTGTGCCATAGCAAACAGCCCCGTAGACCACTGAAGACCACGGTAGGAGATGACTGAGGAACTTTCAATCATAAAGAAAAATGGTTGAACATTTGTTGAAATAGTTGATTAATAACACTGTCCAGGATACCACAGGCTAAAGCTTGGTGTAGTAAGCTTGTAGACATCACAATGAAAGTCTTTTGGACAGATGAGAGAAGATTAACCTGTATATATGTGACTATGTGTAAGCATATGGTTCACCCTCTATAGATGTAAATAACCTCAAATTAAAGCTTTCATTCCACATTTCAGTATCACGGTCAGTGTTGCACTTCAAAACTAGTGGGCTGGAATACAGTGAATACAGCTTGTATTGTTCAAATACTTATGGACTCCACAGTATATGGCAGATGGGCTGCTGGAGAATACTGGCACTGATGAGGAAGTGAATTTCATAAAAAAAGGACACAGACGTTTACTAACATGTAGGACTCACAGAGTACAGAGGAAATGTGTTACTATAATAAGGACATCCACAGTGTCATGAGGTTGACTGTAACTCTATAATTTTGCTGATGCTGCCTGTAGGCTGTAATTGAGCTAATGCTGTGAGATGAAAGTTCTCTGTGTCTTAAACTGAAGTGTGTTGTCTGTCCTTGTTTGTGATTGCAGATTTTAAAGTGAATGGGGAGGCATCTAAAGCAGCTCTGGCCAATGAGGACTGTCCGCACATTGACCAGGCAGTGTCACCTGAGGAAGTTTTTAGCCCCATAGACCGTGAGAGACCTTGCTTTCTGCTCACCTCTGGAGAACGGGGCAATCACATAGGGGGAAGAGTCAGGAAGGGTACGTAACCCGCCAGTCACTGTTTGCCATCAGATACTAAGTGCACGCAAAGTGCTTATTTTGAAATGGAGCAGCTGTCAGTCAAGGTGGCCTTTTTATTCAAGGAAAGTGCTCATTTAACAGGTGGCTTGACCCTTAAGACCTCACCTTAAGGTCAGCAGTAAAAGTTGTAGCAGAAGTAAGATAATTTACTGGTCCATCTATGGAAAACTTTGGTTTTCTTCTCTGACCTACCATGTTTGTAGGATGTAAAATGTTCCACTTTCATTGGCACACATTACAGTTTACAGTTATAAACTACACATCCTCTAGGGTTAATATTTCCTTAAGCCTATTTTAAGTGGACATGGAGGTGCCCAGTGTCACAGTCTTGAAATTAATTAAGAATTTGTCAGTAAATTTGTTGTTATTATTAAAGGAAAATAAAGGAAGTGCTTGCCTGATAAGTAGTCATGCATGCAGAGTCACTATGGTGGGTGGTATTGGTGGTGGTGAACCTCAGAGAGGTCCAGCATGGGATATGAGGCATGTGGTCACATGACAAGAACTCAGCCAGTCAGAGGCTCTTAGTTTTTAGCATCAGTTTTAAGACAGCCTGTCACATGGGTGCGCTGCACTACCAAATCAGCATTAGTCCAAAAGCAAGATGGGAGAATATTTCATACTAGAGAATTACATAACTCCAAAGCCATGACCCAAAGCTGACTCACGACCGTTTCCTGCTGTTTTAGCTGGATGACACCAATTACATTCTACCCCATTTGATACGGAGGCAAGACTGTTTCCAGGTGTCGCTGTGAAACACATGACGGCTGGAGTCTTGTTAGGTTCTAATTGGTGCTCTGCAGAAGCCTGAAGTTCAAAATTGGAACATTCCAGTGGAAAACATGCGCGCAGGCCCAGCGCTAGAACTAAATCATTAGTGAAGCACATGGAGACACACAACAGATAAAGAAGAAACTACTGCAGATCTGTCCAAAGACACACATTCAGGAGAGAATCAACAAGAAAGCCACATTTACAGCAAATTACCAAAGGTCTACCCATTTAGGAAATGTATCTACTGACTTATCTTCCAACAAGAGTGCATCCTTAAAATCCAGCCGATACAAAGTGATGCATACAGAGTTATTTAATGTAGCCTCTTATACCAGGTGCATGCACAAAATTTAGTTTCAGTTTGTTTTTTGTTGCTTGCCACTATAGAATCCTGTAGGAAATAGTGGGTTTAGTGGGGCATGATGATTAGTTTGTGGGGCATTGCTCCACTAAATAACCTTGTTACTCTGGGCCTGCACTGAGTCCAACACAGCAGAACAGATCATAAAGACTGATTTTAATTCTTACCCATCCAAAGGTGCTATTGGTACATTTTATTCTCAATTTACAAAACAATACACTAATTGCAGTACTTCTGGGAGGAACTATTTGCTAAGGAATTACGTATTGAACTTTAGCTTGAGTAGCTGATACGATCTAGTTTTGTTGAGCTCATGTGTCTGGCTGTGTTCTTTGGTGTCTCTCTAAAGCTGTGTTGTGCTGGTTAGCACTGTGATACCACCCCATGCATGCAGTAGACAGACTAATGCATAATGCATAGCACGCATGGAGGATGATACGGTTGACTTGGTGAATGGTCACTGTCAACTGGTTCACCATAAACATAACTACATAGCAGGGTAACACACTAATGCACCCCTAAGTGCCAAAACACACATCCCCTCTGACACACGCTTAGCCACAAATGTGCGCACACATGAACATGCAATCACATACATCTGGCATTTGAGGCTGCACTGTGGTGTACTGAAAGCCCTTTCTCTCTTCAAATGAAGGTTATGAAAAGCCATGGAGCCATAGCAGCATGTCTGGAGGCGTGGCCTCAGTGTCGGCCCTCCCCTGCAGCCCGCCCTGTCTCATGCAGCAGGCGCACTCCCCCATCCCATCCATCCTGTAGCATGGACAACCAAACTAACCAATCAGAGGCCCCGCTCTGCAGCGCTGCGCTGAGACGCCTGCCCACACTGTGTACCATTCGTCTCTCATCAGCCTTCCTCTCTCAGCTCTTCATTCTCTCTCTCTATCAGTGTTTTTCTGTCTTTGTCTCGACTCTGTTCTCTTGTCCATCTACTCACATCGTGTTATTTTCCATACTCTCTTCCTGTCTGCTACAGTCCTCTTTTCTTCCTCTTTCGTCATGTCTTTTTTCCCTTTTCTCATTTTTTCTCTTTTTCACTTTTCGTCTCATTATGTCTTCTCTTCCCTGCACTAATCATGATCTCCCTTTCTCTCTCTCGCCTTCCCCTCCTTCCTCCAACTCCCTTTTCCCCTTCAGTGTTTCTAAGCTGTGGTTTTTCATCAGGTGCTATTGGACACCTTTTTAAAAAATTGATGAGAAAATGGCTATTTCATATAGTTTAGCATTCTGGACGTAACCATGGAGTTAAAAAAAAGAAAAAAAAGTAACACTAACCAATCATGATTCTAGTGATGCACACGTCACCGACATGAAACTCTGACTGAAGAAACCTCATTTGCATTTGCATGCCTTGCATGGGAAACTGAGAAAAAAAAAATGTAAGTCTTTTGAAAACATGTAAGAACAACTATCTTGTTTTACATCCAAAGCTTCTTTACAGATATAAAATGCAGATTTGTATGATATCATTTCAGATGATATAAAGTACATGTAGCAGTGAAGACATTTTCTTTGCTGGCATTTTTTTCTTCGCCTTTCCCCAAAACTTGACCTTGTGTGCGTTTGAGCACGCGCCGTGTTTCTAATAGTAGCAGTGGTCAGTTTGACCATTCAACTTTTCTTCTTGAAAAAGACTAAAATGCAAATAGCGAAATAATGCACTTTAACTTTGATAACAGTCATCTACCTAAGCAGATTTACTCCACCTTATTCCGAGTATTAATACCAGCTGAGAAACAGGACAATACGCTTGTTGAGCAAAGTTCAGCATTTATTTTTCATAAATTCAGTTTCATACCGTCACAATTGGATTCACGTCTGTTGTTCTCTGTAGCAAAATAGAACAATGTATATTTATTATATATAATTATGTGCAGTTGACACAAAAAAGTGTTTTAGAAAGGGTTAAAAGTATGTATGTACTTCTGGACTTACTTGGGGAAAGGTAAATGCATGCACTTTTATGCAAAAAATAAGTACAGTATGCGAATGAACCTGTAAATAAAAACCTTGCATGAAATAAATTTTGTATTGAATCGGTGTTTGGACTCTGGTTTTATTTGACAGAACACACATACACGTCACCCTCGTTGCCTGGCAACAAGCAGTGTACCTCCTTTACAGTGGCTTCTCTTTGACCTTTCGCCCCTCTCTGTCGCCGGACCGTTCATCTCCTACGCTAGATCCTGAAAGAGCCGCCGTTGTAAACGAGCACTCTTATCATGCAGGCTGTGTCACTGCAGCGGGCCCCTTGAGAGGTCAGCAAGGTCAAAGAGATCGTATGTGACCTTATAGGGGTTGTAACAAGAGACGGAAAGCAGGAGCGACGACGACTTTGCCCTGCTTCACACACTGGCATGACACTACAGCATTCGAGCATGACAGAAAATAGTGCAGTCGTTTCGTACGCACAGCATGCGACAGCCTGTATTACCATGATCCGTGTCCACCTACGTTGCCTATGTGATGGGTGCTGCTTTCTGGCCTAGCATGGGGAAGGGCATGGTAAACTCGCACGTTTACCATGAATGTCCAGCAGAAGCACATGTCCATTAGTGGCCATTTCATTTCGCCCCTGCACCGGCTTCACGCTGACTTCGCTTGCATGGTTTAGGGGACGCTCCCTCCCCCTTCCATCTGTCCTCTCTTTTTTCTGTTTGTGTTTGTTTGGTGTATTAATATGATTTTCCTTGTTGTTTGCTGTTGTTGTGTTCTCTTCTTTATATGTTTTTTAGAAGCCCAGCGAGTGAGCCGAAGCAGACAACCAACAGAGTCAGTGTGTGTTATGAACCATGGTGTGCCAACCACTATGTGTGTCAACCATAAAGCCACATCTCCCACCTGATAGTGCTGTAGCGTGTGCGTCTGTAAGTGTGCGTGTATGTGCACATTTGTATGCATGTGTACGTGAGCGCGCGCGTGTATGTGTGCGTGTGTACAGTAGATCAGCATTATTTCTAAGTGACAGAGAACTCAGCGTAGATGTAGCACAGTAGCACAGAGAAGCTGTTGTTGTTCAGCCATATGTATCTCTGTTCTGTGAGTGATTATTGTGCTGTTGTACTGTGTGAAGTGCCTATTGTTTTGGGTGTGCGTGGTACGTGTCGGTGTTGTATATAGTGCTTTTGTGTGCTGGTGCATCAAAAAACGTGACTTCAGTATTTACTTTTTGATTGGGTTCCTCCTTAAGTGACTATCTGAAGTGAAAATCTGTTTTAGTGTGCCTCCGTTTCAGTGTCGTAAGATGTTACTCTAGTACGTTACACATCCTCTCCAGTCATGACCAAGTAGGGAGAAAATCATTACTCAGAGAAACACTTCTCGGGAACACTTGAAGCCCGCTATATAACACTGACATAACCATGCCGTAAACATGTCTTTGAAAGATTATACCCAGTAATAAACCGGGGTAAATTACCATTAGCATCAGTCATCAGGATAGATGACCATGTTTGAACTATTATGTCACCTGTCGTGACAACTAATTGGTAGTGACGACATTGGGCCTCATTCACCACCCTTTCTTAAGAAGAAATTCCTTCTTAAAACACACTTCCGCAGTTTTCACGAAGATTTTGACATTCACTAATGTCTTCTTTTTTGGGATTTGTTCTTAGGTAAGAACAGAATCTACTCACACTCTAGAGCAAAAAGGTGTGAACAATTCTCCGGTTTAAGAACATGTCATGGAAATCTGATGTAGACTTTGTCTTAGGACGTTTCTCAAGAACCAATTTAAGATATGAGTGAATGGGGCCCATTTTTATATTTCTGAACAAAATTTGTCATGACAACATGACATGTTTATGGCATGGTTAGGTCAATGACGTAGCAGGTTTCAAGTAAAGTGTTAATCACTTTTCCCTTTCTTTTTTTTTCTTTACTACTGTAGCAACTGTATAGTAAATGCCTTTTGCACTGTTTGCACCTGTTCACTTTTACATTCCTTTCAGTAGAGCATAATATAGTTCAGAATCCTTTGTAGCTCAGTACTTAGGCTGGTAACATTCCAGTTAGTTTAAAGGGAAAATAAGAAAAAAAAATCTAGCTTGTGCTTCTCTACTAATAGATTTGGCTGTCACAACAACAGGACCAAACATATTATTCTGAATGAATGCAAAGTCCTTCATTGTGTTTAAGAAAACGCCTCGTTTGCTGTTGACACTTGTGCCTATGAGAACACTGGAAATAAGAGGCCACAGACTGTCTGGATCGTTCTGTCTCTTTGGCAGAAAATGCTGCGAGACAGAACTTTTTCAACAGACAATCCTGCACAACATGCAACGAAGTTCTTAGATTGATTCTAGTAGACTCATTTATAGCAAATTAGAAACATACATAAAGGGTTTTAATAGACAGGCGAATAAAAGAAAGGAAATAATACTGTGTCAAGTTTATTTAATATTTATTTTCCATTGTTGTGAAAATGTACAGTATGCCCAATTCTTTGGGACCAACTTAGAACACTGCCAGTCATATCTTTGGGGATGTCTATGTCGGACCCTTCACTAACAATATGCTGGACTGTTAATTCACCCAACACCACAAGAGCACAACTCTGACTGACAACCAACGATGAGAACAAAACATTTCACAGTGCAAAAACCAGGGCTGCTTCATGCAGATTTTTTTGGTATGAAGCAACATGAAATCAACCACATTACCTAAAACTGATGTTGAAGTTTTAGTTGAAATGGCAGCTCATCAATGTCCAGTTGTGAATTTGTTGACTGGTTGAAATAAGATTTAGACAAATCAGCTACATTTTTAACAATTTGCCAGTTTGGGGTTTGACATCCTGCCGCTGCAGTAACACAGGCATCTCCACTGTTTGTGCTGTTCTGTGAGAAGTCCCGTGTATGTTTCATGCACCGTGCAGTGCAGTGTGGGTATTTAGCCAAAACAAGATGTTGTTTTCATTGATGGTTAGATTTGTTAAATCAATTTTGTGTCTTTTTTCTGAGAAAAAAACTAAATGATAATAAAAAATTACCATGCATGTTTTTGTGCTTATTGTGTTCTTCAGATTAAACCAAGTTGACTGAAACTTTGAGAAATACTTTGGCAGATTAAGGTTTATAAACATGCATAAGGGAACAGAAAGAATACGTTATTATCAGACTGTTGTTCATTAACAAAATTAAACATTGCTGTGTATGCAATATATTTTTCCCACTGTTTGGGGATATGATTTGATGTCTTGTAATAGTAATGCTCTTACTCATGAATTTGGTCATGTGCTAGTAAGTTAATAACAGTTGATAGTAACAATTTGCTGGAGTGGCATTCATAAGGTTACACAACACCTACAGAGGCCTTTTATGACAACTGAAAAACCTATATAAACATTTAGAAAGGTTTATTCCAACAAGTGACAGTTGTTATTACAATTTCTAAAGTGAAATGTAATGAAAATCGACAAAAGTAACCTTTATAAATGATACTTGTTGGAATAAGCCGTTATAAATGTCCATGTAGATTTACAACAGTCATTAAAGGCTTAGGTAGGTGCCATGTAGCCTTAAGAATGCTGCCCTTCAGTAAACTGTTATTAAGTTAATAAACCTGCCACGCATCCTGAAGCTAGAACCTTCTAATTTGAAGAATCTGAAGAATATCAAAAGGAAGTAAGGTTCACTACGTGTCTTTGTTAACATGTTTTTATGTCAAGTGGGACTGTCATGAAACTGACATTTCAAAGTCATTAAAGATTCCACTGAATTTACTATCAACCTCAACTTCAGAGCAGAGAAGAGGACATTTTTAATGAGAGATTCAAAGAAAACAGATTCAGACCCACAACTAGAACTGTGACTAAGTATGCATGGAGTTAATTACCATTTTCACGGTTATGTATAGAATAATGACACCCGACATGTGTCGTACATCTACATACAAAAGCATGTATTTGGCTATCAAGTCACGGGTAAAATAATTCAAAAACTGGATGGCAGAATGCACCTCTCTTTTCTGTTCTCCTGTTCATAGCTATGATGTGTTCAAAACTTTGTGATGTCTAAAATAGCCTTCATGGAAAAAAAGAACTATAAAGAATTACAAAGAATAGCATAGCATTGATGTTTTTATTAATGGGATGTGATTTATTAATGGGAAAAAATATTAATTGTTTAATAACTCTCAGTGGCAGCTACAGTGATATCAGATGAAACTTGGCTTCATTACCCATTTGCTTAGGTAGCAGGTTGTTTTTTCACACTGCACATTCATTAGGCATTGATGATAAAGTCATCATGCGAACATGAAATAAAAGATTTGTAACTTCTCCAAAATATACTGCATTTGCACTATATATTGTATAAAGTGACTGGAGTGTGTCCAACCTAAAATATGTTGCATATATAACTGTTATCTAACTAATTTTAATTTGAATTAAAATCAAGTAAAAATACCATCAATGGCAGAACATGGGATGGCAGCATTTATGTTTTGGCATATAGTGTTTCCAAATGACCTTTTCAATAAACCTATGGTAACAGAAAGGGTTGTTTAAGGGAAGCTCCTGTGCACAGGGAAAGTAATCCTGAAAAAGTGCTACCCCAGTACTGCCCATCACAGTGAGATTTAACAGAACACTGGCTTTAGTAGAAGACCCTCATTCATCTGTGTGTCAACTCCCAACAGTTTTGTATCCCTTGCTTCCACAGCTGCCAAAGGAAGAGAGGAAAAAAACACATGAATTTCTGTCCCCTCATCACATATGAGTCATTTAGCATATATATGAGATACTGAGACAGGGTCAAATACTTACATTACTTGGAAGACCATCAGGAATATATCAAAGCTGATTACTGTTTCTTTACTCAGATGTAATTAACTTTCATATGTACATGAAAGTCAATTTAAACGTTTACTTTGGAACTGCCTACAAGTGATGCAGCTCATATTTTACCATGGCCAATAAAAACAAGACTGTACAAACTAAATATAAAAACCTGACTGGGAGCTTTAAGACTTTTCAGCATCCGAACTCTCCACTACTCTTCAAACAACACAGTGCCATGGAATGTCCTGCTCCGCAGCCAATCAAAAGAGGTCTGACATCTCTGAGAACAGGAACTAGTTGTGGTTGTATGATGTTACAAAACGAGCCATCTCCACACATTCCATGCTCATTCCAGCCCCAGGAAAAGACTTGATTCCCTTTAAAAAAAAGAACATAATCAAATAATACATATTATAAAAAATGTAAAAAGCAGGAAAAAGACATATTCAGGAGTGCAATACTCAAATGAACACAAATAATTAGTACAAACCTAAATATAGTATTGAACAAGTCAGAGAGCAGCTTATGGTATTAGGCCAATTGTTCTTAAATACGTGCTGCTACATTAAGCTCTGTATTCAATCATGTAGGGTAAACTAAGCAAAGCAGGTGCATCTGAAGTTCATATTATAACCACAGCTAAAACAATGATGCTAGACCAATAAAAAACAAATGCTGAATGACAAGTTCATGATTCATGTATTTGATTACCTCCTGTCACTCTTAGAGAAATGCAGCATGAAACTTATCAGTCCAATTTTACGTGATTTTACTACTGTATTTTCAGCGAACTTTCTTTCTCCTCTATTCCATCTATAAGGAAGACATGGACCTAAAGGCAGGATTTTAGACTAATGTCCCTATAGCATCAATCATAATGATATTTGAGCATGTGCTACATAGCATCTAAGAAAAGCAACACATTTTCTTCTGATTGCCAATTCACATCGAAAGTCTGCATCTTGCGCTGAGGGAACCATACAGTCTTTTCTGTACACTATGTACACAGTAGGCATGCGACAGTTTTCCTGTGGCACAACAAAAGACAGGACATAAGAGGAAATGCAAGCAAGAAGACCAGCAACTTAACAGAACAGAACTTTTAGCCATCCACACAATCAAACACTGCATTAGTTATAAGGGAGAAAAAAGGCAAACCGAGTATTTTACACAGTATACACAGATGAATTACATGCCACCTAAGTGCTTATGAATGTATGAGCAGCATCTGTTGTATTTCTGTAAATAGCTACAATCATCCTCTCACTAACACACACCCTCACTCACCAATCAAAAGGCTGTGTGACTGAACGGTACTGGGACTTGGACACTTCTAAGCCATCCAGCGAGTGGGTGTGGTCAAGCCTGCACCACCACTGAAACACGTGCCATGGCAACACTGTTACATAACAGTGCCTGTTGCCATGGCAACCATAAGTGAGCTTGCTTTCTCAAGGGAAACTCGTTTTCTCAGATTTGTTCTCCTTGTCTCGCTCCACCGTTCCCTTCACAAACCCCACATGTGCTCTAAGTGATGCATTCCAGAGCGCTACCCATTTTTGCTTGCTGTCATCCAGTCACGCAGCATCCCTTCATGTTTACGCCACAACAAAAACAATGACAAAAACACAAGCCTTCGGAGGCTGAAATAATAAAAGCTCATTGGTAGAGGAAAAGACAAGATGGTTTGCCGAAATATATAAGAAACAATGCACTACTGGAGCACTGTAGCATAATTCACTTAACAATCAAACCGTACTCAGCCACTGATAGGAAGTATATTGCTGTTCCCATAGCAACAAACTTATAGACCATGGTAACATCTAGCATAGCATACTAATCTAGACAAGAAGGGCAAAAATAATGAGGAAATTGTTCCTCTTCACTCCTTTACACATACAGTCACTAAGCATGATTAACACATGAAAATTGTCACATCGAATAAAATGCACTAATTTTAAAACAACTGCCTTATATAAGAAATGGACTAAAATATATACAAATATGAGAGATATTTTGAGCATCCATGTTAGGACACTTTCACTGAACTGAGTATTATACATTACTATTTTCCATAGTAATGTATAAGCTTGCTCTTGTTTAAGGTCTGAAAACTTGATCCCTACATTTTTTGGTCTACACACACCAGATTTTTACATTTCCACTGTACTTTCACAGAGAGTAATCGAGGTGTTCCATTAAGCTCGAAAAATGTGATACCGTTTCATGCACAAAGCCAAAAAATTACGCTAAACAAACAAAGAAATCAATAATTTTCTCCACAGTTTATTAGGCCTGATCAGTATTTCACAGTGATAAAGGGAAGACAAAGCCTAGTGAAAGGGGGTTGTCCTTCAGCTACACAAACCCTATACTTAGGGATACAATGCTGTCAAAAATCCTGAGACCATCCTGAATTTAAGAGAATTTGAAGGGTCTAAATGGATGTGTAGCCTGTGAAGCTATTGTGTAGCTCTCAAGAAGCTATTCCTCAGAAAGGAAAAAAAATGCATATCAAACAAAGAAGATGCTGGTGTGGACTGACCACCCCCAAGCCCATACTTAAACATTACTGAATGTTTTTTGGAAGTAACCAGCTTCTAAAACTGAAATTTGGAGGTGTGGAAAAATGTACTCGCACATTTGCTTGAAAAACTGAAAGCAAGCCTCTCAAAAAAGAACAGGAGCAGTAATAAATGCAAAGGGTGGACAAACTAACAAGTGGAAAAAAAAATGTATTTAGTTGTTGAGCCTTCTGGGCGGCACGGTGGCGCAGTGGGTAGCGCTGTCGCCTCACAGCAAGAATGGCCTGGGTTCGATTCCCGGCTGGGTGACCAGGGTCGTTTCTGTGTGGAGTTTGCATGTTCTCCCCGTGTCTGCGTGGGTTTCCTCCGGGTACTCCGGTTTCCTCCCACAGTCCAAAAAAAAACATGCAGTCAGGTCAATTGGACGTGCTAAATTGCCCCTAGGTGTGAGTGAGTGTGTGGATGTATATGTCTGTTTGTCTGCCCTGCGATGGACTGGCGACCTGTCCAGGGTGTATCCTGCCTTCCGCCCGATGACAGCTAGGATAGGCTCCAGCACCCCACCGCGACTCAGAAGGATAAGCGGTTTAGATGATGGATGGATGGATGGATGTTGAGCCTTCTGTGTAATTTTATGTTAAATATTTTCTGCTTTTTTTGTGATGTTAATGGTTGTTTTAACTGAAAATTAAGAAAATGGAGGCGAGGGGGTGGTCTCTGACTTTTGCACAGTACAGTATGTAAGCTCTAATTGCAAATGTAAAAATGACATGGAACTGCTCTTTCTGTTCAAGCAAGATAACGCCACACATTTATTAAGACGACTTCCTTTCCAAAAAATAGAAAGCAGACATTTCATACAGCGATGAAAACAAGAACAGAAACTATAAAAAGAAGAAGTAGTTTTGTATGAAGATGCATCTTCTCTGCAACATTTTAACAAAATGATCTCATGTACTATGTATTATAAGATATGTACAATGCAGATGTGTAAAATATGTACTGTACAGATCTTACGTACAATGTTGTAAGACTTATCATTAAATGAAATTCCTAAGTAACATAAATCCAAATGCTATTTTTATCATTGAAAGTACTGTAAACCACTGCTGAACACTGTCTATTGCCATACTCATCAGTAAACTCAATAAATGTATATTTTCTTTTTTGCCTGGATTAAAAGTACACCCTTAGTTACAAATGCCGTACAAACAAATGTCTTTAGCTGTGAGAGGCTTAACACATATAGATCAATTCCTCAATCAACCCGATTTATATGAATACAGCATCTTCACAAAAACAATGAAATTATAATTTTAGACACAAGGATATGGCACATATTGGGATTCTGGTCACTTCATGTGCTTGGGCATGTGCTTTATATGTCTCAGTCTAAATGGACGGTCATCAACAACATTCATGTCTTCACATCATGGCTTCAGGCTTCAGTTTGTCCCACAGTCTATCCCAGAATGCATTATGATGATCTGGGTCCTGAGGCCAGTCGAGATACGTTCTGGACTTCACCAGTCGAGCCAGCCTGTGATGCGCAGACAACAGGCGGGAGGGGATTTTCTCCAGGAAAACCAGAATGAGGACATCTTTGTGCTCCACCTGCAACCGGCAGGTTGCTAGACGCATCTCCAAAGAGCACCAGTGGCTGCATAAATAATTGCGGCTGACCAGACAAAGCGTGTAACGACTTTCATAAAGGCTGTCCGTGATATTCTCCACAACGTCCTTCCCCAGTTGGAAGTCCCTGCTGTGTAAGCAAAGACGAAGAAAGGGTGGGCCTCGTTGCTCCAGGCTAGGCAAAAGCTCATTCACTACCCAGTTCTCATCTTTGCTGCTGTAAGAAACAAAGGCATCATAGCGGTACTGCACCCTCCTATCTTTTCTCACAGCTTGCTCAAACCAGGCATGAGCAATATGGTACAGGGAGAAAATGTAATATACAGCCATTCTTTGTATCAGTACTACTAACATGAAGAAGATCACACCCAGTGAAGTCAAAACAAAGAGCACAAAGTCCAGCTCAAAAAAGCAGTTCTGCTTTCCATAAACCTGTAAGTTGGGCCTGTCTAAGCCATTGTTTGATAAACACTGCAGTTCATCTAGTTCTGGATCCATCATTTCAACCTGCACTTTCTTATTCTCCTTCACCCACTTGGAAAAGTCAGCATTATCACAATTGCAGAAGAGCTGAAGCTGATATATTCCTAGATTCTTTAAACTGGTGAGAGGTTCAAAAAAACCACTATATACAGTGACATAATCCCGGAACATCAGACGTAAAAACCTCAGTGATTTCAGGTCTTTTGTTAAAGTGCCATCAATACTGAAAAATCTACAGTAAAACAAGCTTAGCTTCTCCAGTTTTGTCAGGTTGTGAAACATAACAGCAACATTTGACTGCTTTGAAAGGTCCATATCATCAAGTCTCAATACCTTGAGGTGAACAAGCTCATTAAGACTTGTCAAATCTCCAATTTTGTCTGAAAACTTAGATATATACATTAAGTTCTCTATATTTTTAATGTATTTCCCTATGAATTCCGAACCACACAGGATGTGTTTGGTTCTTGCAAAAAGAGTGGTGACTGACTCAAAAAATGGACGTCCACAATCCTCAATATTCAAAGTAACTGACCGAACATGCAAGGTAAGATTCTGGTTTAAAGTCATGTTCGAACCAATAATCAGCTCCATTGGTACTATATACTCATAGAACAGATAGGCCAGCTGTTCTGGAATATTACCAAATATGTCTGTTAAATTCCATCTAATTACAAAGCCTATTGGTGATGATCCAAAGTAACTAAAATGTAATTCTTGAAGATTCATAAGATGTCTGAATGCCATTTGTTCAACCCGAAACAATGGATTATTCTTAAGGTCCAGCACCAAAAGGTTGTACAAACCATCAAAAACATGAACACCAATCGCAGTGATGTTGTTATACTGGAGGTTCAGGATCCTTAATGAGACTAATTCCATAAAAGCAAAAGGTTCAATTTCAGAGACAGAACAACACGTTATATTCAACATTTTAAGATTAACTAAACAACTGAACTGATGGCTAAATATCTTACTGACTGAAGCAAACATAACAGTTAAGTCAGTCAGCCAAGTGACCTTCAATGTCGAGGTACAAATAGATCTGAAATGTGTATCCAATCCTTTGCCATTAATTTCCAAGGTAGTAAGGTTTGTCATAAAACAGATGAAACTCAAGTCTATAGGTTGTGTCCCATATGCAGTAATGTGCAACTGTTCGAGCACAGTGCAATTATCATTCTTAAAATGTGAGAAGTTACTAGCAGTTTGGAAATACAATGAAAGGTTTTTAGTTGACAATTTTGACACAACAATGCAAACTTCTTCCACAACAAGTGTGTCAGTACAATAATGGAACACATCTACACTCTTGATACCAGATCTGGGAAGGTAACTGAGTAACTTGTCATTATAACTAAATCCTAAACTAGACAGGTTTTGAAAAAAGTCCAGTGCTCCCTGATGGAAATGTTTAATTCTGGAAAAAAACAGCTTGGCTCCTGAGATACGTGGAAAAACAGATTCATTTTTATGGGTGCAGTTAGGGTATTCTAATGTCTCTTCCTCATTTGTTATGAAAACAAATTCTTTTAAAGATGTTAAATTTATTATTGAGCATATTAGTTCCGAAAAGACAGAACTGCATAGATTATCAAAAGAAATTTTTTCCATTTGGGAGAGATCATAAAATATATCGGTTGCCACTACCGACAGATTTAAACTGGCAATATTCAGTTCCTTCAGCTGAGGAAGGTCCTTAAATACCTGACGTGACATTGCAATCTCACAACATTTTTCAGCATCAAGGTCTAATCTTCTAAGGTTGGAAAGTCCCCGAAATGCTCCAGGATGAAATTGAAAAAAACAACCGAAGATCTGAAGGTACTCCAGAGAAGTGAAGTGTGAAAAAGAGCCATTAACAAGAGATCCATGTGGTTTGTGTTTTTCCATGGTGATACACAGGTTTTGAATGTCAGATGGAAGCCCAGCAGTATCCACTTTGATATCTGTGACGTGGTCGCAAAAAGCAGCATGATCGCCAGAACAAACACTAGCAAATTTGTCAGTTTTGCATTTTTTCAGCTGCCATCCTTGCGTGTTGGTGCTGTAAAGCACAAGGGCTATCAGGTACACCAGTGACTTCATGTCTTCAGTAAAAAGCGCTTCTGTTCCAACACTTGTCTGGCTAGTCTTTAAGGCAGTCTGCAACAGTTTTGCCATCAGTTCATTTGTAGCGACAACTTAGACACTAGAGACAGTTGTATGATAATGACGTTAAAAAAACAAAACAAAAAATTACCAGAAAGTTCCTTCACAACTTTGTCACTTGGGTGCACAAATGATGAACTGCAACTGTGTGATGTTCAGTCAAGCGTACATGCTAATTTTGGAAAGTAGTCAGGCCAAGGCGAAGTACATTTGTATATTTGTAAGTTAAACCTACATTCTTTGACAACAGGCAAGAAAAAATGTAACAAAATATAGTTTGTTAGCACAAATCTTACCTGTGCCAAAAATAAGTCTTTTTAAAAATATTTAAAAAAGTAACTTTTTATGTTTGCTCACTTATCCTTCAAACATAGATATACAAAATTCAAGAACGCAACACAAAAAAACAATATAAAATGATACAAAAAATCAGAAATTTTAAAAAAACATGGACATAAGACAATTCAAGCATACTATTTTTCACAGCCAAATATCACATCTCAATTATCAGTCAATATTAATTTAAGGTCTTTATTTGTGTAAACTACTGATATTTTTCAGTAATCTAAGGGCAGAATCTCTGAGTGTGGATCAATGTTGCTGTTCTGAATAAAAATGTCAATTCTGATACCAGTACCAATGCATCCCTAATTTATATTTTGTATCTTTATTTAAGTTTCCTCAAAATGGCAAATATTTTTTAAAGACACTGTGTGTAATGTTGGATCAACTATTCTGGTTCTGCATGTATAGAATTAATCATGTGCAGAGGGTTTTATCTGAGAGATGGTTGGTACTTTCCTAGCAAGCCTGACAAGGAACAGAACTCTCATTCATATTGGCTTTCTATGGTAATTGTAAAGCCCTTGCACAGAACTGGGCACTTAATTACTTTAGATACACATCTATCCTCAAATTAATGAGAGGTTAAAGGATTCCTATTATGGATATCCAGACATTAAACTCTCCAAGGCATCACAACCAAAGTTGTGGTTAATTCATACAGTACAGTATTAGCGTTATCTCTTAATAACGGATTTCTGTCACAAATCCTCCCTTGGTATCAGCACCTCAACCCTCACAATTCTGATGTGCTTTCTCAATGTCAGAGTAATATACCATAATAATCAACCTTTAAACCCACAGAAATTAAACATCATTTCATTTTAGCAGTTATTCGTATAGCAACACAGTAATTAGCCTTTATCCACTTTCCTTCCTTATTGTTTCTTTATCATTTGCTTATTTTTTCATTATTATCCCTCTGGTTTTCAGACAGGGCAGACAAGCCCACTTCTAAATGTATTTCTCCTGTTACACACACACATACACACACAGTGCTGCTTTTGCATAAAATAACTTTTCTGTGCATTTTCAACTTCATTTCTTGCTCTTTTTACCGTTTATGTGCTGCACTGAGATAACCCAGCTAGCTAGTGATAAAATGAAAACTGGAAAAAGCTTTTTATCTTAAATATGTCATAATAATGACAATCAATATGCTACAAACTAAATCTAGCTAAGTAAGTTAAGGTCAGCATTTCTCACTGCTCGGATATGCCCTCATCCTCCTTAAGCTGCTTTTTTATTCTTGTATTCGTGATGCCAATTTGTTTTTCGCAATTATTGCCACTGTTGTCCATCTTTACATGATTCAAATATTAAAACTGCAACATCAGTAATGCAATTAAGTACTGAACTTTGAAATTACTGCCTGCTGTGTAAGCCAGTACCAGATTCACACCACTGTGCTGAATAACGATATGCTAATCTCTTAAGATTGAGCTTCCTTTATATTTTGAATTTCAGCAGTTACATGCAAGCACCTGTACAGGCGTCTGAATGTAACTGCTACATCATTTGAGGTGGAACGGGAAATGGAACAAGAAGCCAACTTTAGCTTCATTTATTCTCTATCCACTGTACAAGATGAGTTACAATCAGCAAACCAGGGCTTTACCACTTGAATTTTTTTACGAATTTTTTGCGCATTTGCAATGTTTGAGGGTTTTTTGCATGTAAAGCCCATTTCAAATCCCTCCTACAGCATTTCAGTGAGATTCAGATCTGGGCTTTGACTAGGCAATTCCAGAACACTCAATTCCTTTAGTCCTGACCCAATGTTCTTTTTAGACAGTAAACACTTCCTTCTGGCACACATCCCACATAAGTCAAATTTTTGCAGTATTTTTGTAATGCTTGTCCTTTTACATTAATGGTGGCAAAAGCTACCTACCGATCCTGTGATATTTTGGGGTTTCAGTGTTTTGGGGTATTTAGCACCTTACAGTCTGCTTTTGGGTAGAATTTGCTGTGGCGGTCTGGCTTTGATAAGTTGCCAGTGGTTTTAAATCTCCTCTACTTGTAGATGATCTTCCGGAGAGTGGAATGATTGATATCCAATATTTTGGATATCTCCTTAAACGCATTCTTAGACTCATATGCATCTACAACCTCTTTTCTGAAGGCTTCAGAGAGCTCATTTAAACTAGGCATGATGACACCACACACTCCAGTAACAAAGAGCAAACCAGAACAAATATCTGAGGTTTAAATAAGACCTAAGTTCCACAAAAATATTCTATAAAGGTGTTCTAATAACTAGCACCTGATCAGGTGCACCTTATTTCAATATGACACATTTGAAGTGATATATGTAGGGGTGTACTTACTTTTTCCACATTAGAAAATTGCATTACTGTTTATTTCAATTATATAACGGAGGACAAAAATGTTAATTATAAGTGTTGGTAAATTATATCACCTTTATCTATCAACACTGTTTAAATAACTTTCTACATATGTTGAAACAGTCTCAACTTTTAATGGGATACACTTACTTCTTCACATAACTGTACACTTGGATGTAACATTTATAGTCCGTCAGACTGTTCTTACGCTTATGTGTGAGTTTGTATGTTAGCTCGCAGTAACCGGCCTAAAACGCTACAGGCCACATTTTATGTTATATTCATAAATTAAAATTATGTTAAATTCAGCCAATAATCATGCATTAAAATGTGCAGAAGTTTCTTCCATGTAGAGGATGTGTTAACCTATGTTCATGTAAAAAAAAATTAACCAAAAATGTAATTGCACAAAGAGTTCCCAAACTGTTGCATTCAACTGTACATGCATGCGCGCACACACACACAAACACACACACACACACACACACATACAGAGACCATAAATGTACTCACCAACAACAGCAAGGTTGTGTTCTGATCCACATGCAATCTGCTTTCATAAAAAAATAAGATCAATTAGAAGAAACAAACCCTCTACCAACACTCAATTCTATTCAATGAAACCTTAAGTTTCTCACACCTTCCAACAAAACAACATATATATGCAGTCTAGCATACTGCCTTCTCATACCTTTTCTGCTGCATAAAAAGAATGATGATAAACTTGATAATCTTGGAAAGTAATGCATTAACAAGATATACACTGTATTTAGAGGGTGAACTTCTGAGTGTACTAGAGAATACTTTTAAACACTGTACATGTCTATGTGTTGGGGGCAGTGGTTTACATTAAATATTGGCCTGTCATTCAAATCATTATAGCAATCACTGTCACTCTGTATGGTCTTGGAAAGGTGCAGTCATGTATTTATTTAAGTAACAATCCCTGAGGAAGCAAGCAGGTAATCAGCTGCTCCAGAATCAGATCTCATTATGAGGAAGACACAGAGAATTACGGGAGAAAACCACAGCACTTATGTAATGTGGTGACAGGCAATGGAGAGGGATAAAGCAAAGATGTCCAGTATTACTTTATGTGATAGAGACATAATGGGTCTTCACAATATTGCTCATTTAATTTCAAACAAAACAGCGTTACAGGGTTAGTAATAAAGGTCAAGCTGAAAGTCCAGGTGGCATTCTACAAAGCTGGATTCATTGCTTAGGAAGCTACTGTTCCTGCCATAATTTGTTTGTAGAGGATCAGTTATTTTGTGCAGATTCTCAAGCAGTGCGAATCTGAGGTAAAATAGTGAAAACCATGGATCCAGTGTGACACTTGTGGATACAGCATAGAGAGCCATTTCTATTATTAATAATATGTATTAACGCACAAAGTCTGCCATGATTCTTGTGTGCACTATTTTTTATAAATATTGCTATTTTCTATTTTGACTTGTTCGTTATATTCACAATGATTTTGCTGATTTAACCAAAAAACGAACAAAATTAAATAACACATCTGCGGGTTAAATTTGCGTCACTCATTTTATGATAAAATTTGACCGGCTGCAACTTTGATGAATAAACACTATTGTCTTTATTTGAAATCTAAACTGATTCAGTATACAATAGGGTAGTACAATACTGATGTAGAATGCGAAGTTCAATAAAGCTTTCGAATATCACAATGACAATATGAGAAGTGATGAACTGTTATTAAAATAGTGTGCATCTGACTGGATGTGATTCAAGTACAGACTGTTTTTTCTGGACGTGTAAAAAGAAAACTAACCAACCTCTTCTTTAAGCAAATAGCAAAATCTAAAATTAGAATAGCAACATTCACTCTTGTGTAAAATAAAAAGAAAAATATTAACACCTACTTACATCAAAACTGAAAGCACATTTTTTGTGCACTGAAAGGCTGAAAAACATTAGGCTTCAAAACAATTGGTGCCAGTAATGTAATGACGTCTCTCTGGCGCCGACTGTATGAGGTAATTTGATCTGTTCTGTCATTGCAGCTCTTAAGGCTGAGCTTTTTTTAGAAACTCATATCACGATAACAATAAAAAAACAATATTGTGCTGCCCTTGTATGTAAGAAAAAAAGCTATCTGGACTTTCCCTATACCTAAGGACAATGTAGCTGACAATGTAGCTGACTAAGAACATGTTCAGCTGAATGCAAGCGCAACACCTTACCTTTGACTCAGTCTTAGATCAGGTTAAGCTAGTAAAGCTAGCACACACCACTCTATCCAGAACAGAATATGAGCACCTATGTGTTTTTTCTCACAGTCTCTCCAGATTAGACCTTATTATATTCAGCAATACATGTCTCAGAGTGAAGTTATCAGGTCATAGTGCATTAACTCCGAACAGACACATCCACATACACAAAAGGAAGCAGGAGCCACACTGAAAACCTGTCTTGAACCTGTCTGTCTTTCTTAACATCACCTACACAATACACTTTCCTTTAGCCAAAAACACAGCACAAGAAAGCACAGCAGAAATACCAGCAAATACACAGTCTGTGTCAAAACAGACCCTGGGCACTGGACAGAGGGTTGTCCAGAACACTCGGGACAACTGTCTGAAAAAGAAGAATACTTAGCTTTGTCGCCGCAGAGCTGACTCTCACAATCACAGTTCAGGTCAAGGCAATTTTGATGTATTGCCATTGCCAGCAATCTGTAGCTTAAAAAGGGTCCTATACTGTTTGCACATTTACAGAGCCCCCTGAAAGACGTGTCAGTCATACACTTTAATGAAGAAGGCCATTCATGACTTCTTAACTCACTGGGATAAAACACATCAGGCAACATAGAGTGGCTTCAAAAAGTATTTGTATTATACTTAAAAAAGCAAGTTCATCATTTAAAAAAAAAGCAAAATGTCAAATCAAGTGGCATTATTTTAAACAAATACAATTACATTTCATTTTCAGCAAAGTATTATTTCACAGGCAGCTGTTGCTAAGTCACAATTATTACATAAGTGCCTGATCACAATTATGTGAGCTGATTGCAATTATTATCCATAGTTCTTAGCTTTTACAATCACATACTTTTTACGTCGCAACAAACAAAATATAATTTGGCCGCTTTTTCATTCGTTGGGTTTAGTTTATTAAGACACGTCATGCGTCTTACAAAAACAACAAAAGCTCTAACTTCTGACTTGGTGTTAAAACATGTCTAGAACACAATGGTAAATAATGTATCAATAGCTTGGAAGCAAGACAACTAATCAGCCAATGTGGCCATTTTAGGTTTATCCCTTAATAGTTATATACAATGAACAAACGATAATTAAATTGTTAATATCAATTGCTGATATTATAATTAATTGTCAACTAAAATTCCATGATCCCGGCAGGCCTTCCTGGAGTGTTTCAGATTGTTATTATTTGAGCAGTTTCTTTTCAGACTTTCAGGTCTGCATCCAAAATGCCTTTGTACACTTCTGAGTTCATGATACCTTCAATGAACACAAGCTCACCATTGGAAAGAAAACATAGTCTGACTTTCTACCTCTGTGCCTTTACAGCACTCTTAGTGCAGTCTGGTTGGAATTCTTCTCCAGACTTTCTCTACACAAACAGTCTACCATTCTACATTTTAAGAAGTAACCTAGAGCACATCATTAATGTTTACTAATTGTTTCCAAATACTTTTTGGGGATACTTCAAATTCGGGGTGCAAATTGCTTTATGTTCAAACTGTTTTGTATTTACATTCAGTTATCAACAGGGAAAGAAAGAGAACACAGAAATGAAAATTTGTTGACTTTTGTAAATCAAGCAGTGGCTGTTAAACATCTGAAAAATGCTTTTCTTTCTTGATAAAAGAGCATAAATGTATTTTGACTACAGAAATACTGTGGTGTGTGAGTCAAAAACAAATTCTCCAAGCATTACTACTGGATACATAATGGGAGAAGAAATTGACACTCTATTAAAGGTTTGTCAGAAAAAAGCCTGCTGTCAAGTCACTGGCACTTGGTGCTACTGTCGGACCAAATGTGATTAAAATAGAGTCATCTGTCCACAAACACTACAGCTGGGTTTGTAAAAAGAGGAACAGTATTTCAGAACAGAACCTTCACCAATGTAACGCATGAAGGTGGATGTGTTGTGGAGATAATTTGCTTCTAAAGGCCACAGACTATTAACTAATAACATGTCAGCTTCTAGCCTATTCATGGGCTTTCTAGACTGTGTACAAGACTAGCACAAACAACATACTATTTTGTGCTACGTTTGGGAATTTTATACTTCAAATTCAAAGAATCTCATGCTGAGTGAAGTCTGAATGAGAGAGAGTGTGAGAGAAAAAGAGACCGAAAGACAGACAGACAGAAAAGGATCAGTTTCTGAATCAATGAGCTGTCTTTGTCATCTCAGATTAGTCACTACACTGCCAGTTAGTAGCGTGTGCCTGCAGCAGTGGAACAGGATATTCACATTATTCTTAATGGTAACCATTATAGGAAACCATGGCTGATATGGGCCAAATGTTAAAAAATAATAACAAGAAAAAAAATTTACTTTTCATAACTTATTATGATTGTTATAGGTAAGTTCAGTGGTTGATTAGGAGACTGTCCTTCTCTTTAACATATTAAAACTCCACAGCATCTTTTAAAAATGGAGTAATGTGTTACAGATATGAAACTTCAGTATAGTAGTATATTCTTGTAATTATATAAGAATGGGGAATGGTTCGTTTAGACAAGAACTCTGTCACTGATGTGCACAATACACATGGCACAGACCTCTCCATCTGCTGCTGAGACTAAAGCTCTCACTGGCCCCTCATGGGCTTCCTAAATCTAACACCCAGCTCAGCAAGAAACTTTGTGACACTGTGTGAATGAATTAATCTGAAAGGAAATTAGTGTTTATTACCAAGGATCCGTCTCTCAATATGTTTAGTATATTGCTTTGCCATTAAAAGCATGCCTTTCTCATAGCGTTTCTTCATAATTTGAGTTGGGTTGAGAAACAAAGTCATTCAGAGTGGTTTGGTGTAAAATAGTGCACTGTAGAGAAGCTTACCTCTTTACAATGGCAGTCATAAAAAACAGAGATTATGTCTACAATGTAAATATAGCCCATTTGTGTCTGCTGAATTTTTACCTGTAAAGTTGATAATAGCAAAATATAGGTAAATCTGAAAATCTGCCTGGCATGTACCCCTTCATTATAAAAGTATTTAATAAAATAGGTCAAAATCAAAGTCAAAACTATAACAAAACAATGTCTCAGGGTATTCAGTGTATTCTTATCCACTTAATGTAATAACACTTTGTGATGTGTCGTCTAGAGGTATTAAACGCTTTGGATGTCTGATTACTATCACCACCACTGTGAGCAGTTCTGACTCTGCAAGCTTCTTTAGATTGGCACATTTCATATCAAACCTGTGAATGACTCTGCTTACATGTGGAATTAAGTGGAATTTCCCTTTAAGGGCTTTTTGACCGAGAGCAAGTAATATAAACATTTTCTAGTGTTTTTCAGCATTTAAAGAAATACTGCAGCGCTGTGCCACCTAATAACTATCATGAAATGTAGAATAATTTGGATGCATTACCTGTAGTTAAGAAAGAACTGAACACTGACTCAACACTGATGTATGACAGAAACCATTGAGCCGCTGCTGAATTCAGTCAGTATACATTCAGAATATGACCATATATGTGAATTCAAAATCACAATTTCAACACCTTAACAATATAAGTTTTAGGATGAATCAGCCATGAGAGTACGTCTTAACAAATGCTCTGTTCTTATGGTTTTATCCAACTTATTTTATCCAAAAAAAAAAAAAAGAGGAATTGTGGTTCGTCCTATCTCAGACGTACAGGTCAATTTAGAAATACCTCAGACGGAAGAATTCATGAACATGTTCTACAAACAACGTTTCATATAAACTTTTCTGACAGAATTATGGCTGTTTTAATCAACTGAACTCTACAGATACAACAGACAGACATTGCCACTGGTGTATTCCTTGAAATATTGTTATTGATATTGTGGATTTTAAAAAATGAGGCTGAGTCACTAGTTGAATACATCTATAATACAGTTAAATGGATATTATAATCATCTTTCAGGGGCCATTAATTGTGGACTAAATTTATTCTGTTCCTGACACCTTCACTACATGCAGTAAAATGCTTTTCCTTTAGATGACCCTGCTGAATAGCTGTGGATGAAGCTTAACATTAAACCCTAGGCAAGGACTTTCTGTCAATAAGCGGCGGGGACGGAAACTTTAGATTTCAACACTGCAGTCTCTTGCTGACAGCACAACAAATCCTCAGGGCTGATCCTCCTCCACTCCTTTTCCTCTCACTTTCAGTGAGAATTACAGCATGTTTCACCCTTCCTTCGTCCCCTTTCTCATCAGCATACACCAGGCAGAAGAGACGGAGACACTGTGGCATCAGCAGCTTTTGAAGATTAAACATGATAAGTGGCGCACTGGCAGGAAAGAGGCGGGGTGTACAAAGGCAAGTCGCATAAGGACACCTGTCCACTGCTCTGAGCAGAGAGGGAAATGTAGAGCTACGGCGACAGGGTTTGGACAGGCCCACTCTGTGCCTAGAAAACTCCACCAAGAGACAAATGCTGCATGGCACAGATGTCGCGTTTGTCTGTATCTCACATTGCCTTGGATCTTTCTTATTTTTCCCCAATTATGCTCTGCCCTCTAGTTCTCTCTTTCCCACACACACGCGCGCGCAAGTTCGCTCGAGTCACCCTATTTGAAAGAGGCTTCGATCCACATTCATTTCAAGGTTTCAAACACATTCAGCACAACTAAAATTGAAACAGTTCAGTTGATAATGTTGTTTTGTATATACCCCCTCACACACACAGATGTTGCATCTCCAAGGTTAGTGGTGACCTTCAGTAAGAGTGAATGCTGTATCTGGGCAGGATGCAAGAAACAGAGGGAATCATTATAGTCATGTCCCCACCTACTGGCTCTCTTTGCACACTGCACCCTCATTACTGTGCCTACAGTCTCTGTGGTGAGTCTAGAGCTCTGTCTGAAACAGCCTACTACATGCTGCTTGCGTACTGATTGTGCCTAGGAGTAGGCAGTATGTGCAGTATATGACCAACATGAATTTCTACGGTATGCCAAAGATACCTAGATAATATACTAATATACCGCATCCCATTTGGCAGGGTCACTTAAGGAGGACAGGTCATGTGACCCTGTACTGTGGTACATGATACTAATTGTTGCATTCTGGATACTACACTGTATAATACTACAAAATTATCACGCAGTACATTAGTACTAATACAATATGCATTATACAGAACACAGCATGCTAATTCAAACACAGTCTATCCCCATCAGCCCCATGCAAGTCTTACGGTAATTTTAGCTTGTTCTAAATGCTGTCAAATGGTGTGCTCAAACATTACATTTCCGAAAAGGTCCTCATACCTGAGTGGCTCCATTAAGTGCCCTGACCTCTGAGGGCAAGCTTATCTCACTACTAGAGTCTGTCATGGAGGCATCTGATTCTGGACTTGTAACATCATTGGTTGGTCCTCTTCTCCCAAGTTGTCCATAACTGGCTCTGCCCCATGTAAAGACTCTCTCAGTCTCTAAAAGATATAGACAGGATGCACTTAATAAGACATTGATTTCTCTTGAAGAGGTTAATGTACACACTTAAAAATGATGGCACTTCCAGGGTTCTTAAGTGAGGAAAATGATTCTATATAAAACCATGAACACTCAAAGAACCCTTTGCTTGATTAAAAGGGTTCTTTGCATTGTGAAAGGGTTGTTCACACTGATGGAGAATGTGCTGTAGAGAACCATTTTGAAGAGGATTCTATAGAGCACCAAAAAGGGTTTTTCTATTGTTACGATGTCAAGCTTGTAAAAATAGAAGAACCATTTGTGGTGCTATAAAACCCTTTTCAAAAAGTGTGTACCCAAGAACTCTAAAATACCAGGTGATAATCCTAGATTCACATAACCACTGCTGTGGAACCAGGCTTTTTCTTGATGGATGTTTGCCTTTTTTTCAGCAAACCAGGCATTGGATCTGTTTCACTGAATCAGTCACATGAATCCAGTATACCTCTGAAAACACAGCTTCAAATTTATTCCCTTTAATAACTATTTTACATTCAAAATCCTCACAAGCTAGGAAAGTACATGTAACTCTAAGCTAATGCTAATACACTTGTTACAGGGCCTTGACAGGGCCTTGTTTGAGGGATAAACTCTCTGAGCAGTTGTACATGTGGTAGGTATGTGTCAACACAGAAACTGAATATCACAATAATTACCTATAATTTTATCACAGTTTACTATATTAGTAAAACATATATGTATAGAAAATATAAAACTATATATTAAAATATATGTATATAAAAAACTTCCCTGATGGCACTTTAGATGGTGGCACAGAAGTCTCCATATATTTCTGGAATCTTCTGTTTTTGACAATCCTAATGGCCTTCATGTCTTTTTAGTTTCCCATTTTATTTCAGGCTGGTTGGTAAACCCTTGGCACTCCAGATATCACAAAGAGTCTGAACAGTGAGCTGTGAAGGTGCTCAAATCAATAACACCCTAAAACAACTGAACAAATATAAGCTGAAGAATGAGATCCCAATGTGACACTGTAGTGGAACCTTGTGATGCCAGAGCTGCTGCACGTATCTAAAAACTGAAACAGCAGCTGGTTTAAGCAAAATACAGTTACAGTGTTACATTTGTCCATGACAATAATATCACAGTATATCTTATTATAAGACAGCGGTTTCTGCTGACAGTTTTGAGAGTGGTATCTGAGTGGAAGCAAAGGGAGCCATCAAACCCATACAGTCTATTCAGTTTCCTAGTTAAAATTTCCTGTCCCCAAACACTCTAGGCATCTGGTACCAAGACTAAGATTAAGGAAACACAATGTGAGTACTTATTATGCGTGTGTCCATACCTGTTTGGGCAATCAGATGCGTCCAGCCACTGTGTATAGCACATACTCTCTCCCCATTTAGAAGTGAGCGATCTAAAGCAGTAGGAAGAGGCAGGAAGGACTCCTTGCTGCACAGCTGGCCATATTTATTACTGCCCCATAGGAATACATCACCAGCCACTACAGGACAAAACAATCAACAAACAAAAGAGTCACATTTACTTAACAGCAGTTACATGTTCCAGCTTAAAGGGGGTAGGCTGATTTTAATCTAAAAGTTCAGTATGGACCTAGTCCAGCAAGCCTTGAGTGCTATGGTGATTCCTGAAATTTCCTTGCCCCAGTGGTTGCTATATGACACAAAGTAGCGATCATTACCATTGTCAGGTTTATAGGTTATTTTTGCAACCAGTTTTGCAGAACAATTTTCCCACCTGTAGTAGACAACATTCAATGGTTTATGCGAAAGAATGTGATTACAGATCAGAAGAAGAAGACAACCTGAAGAAGATCACCTGTCAAACAGACAGAATGGGCAGAGCCTGCAGCCACTTTCTGGCAGGTTACCTGGTTCAGTCCTGTAGGTGAAGAAGCAAGGTTTAGGCAAGAACAGAAATATCTGACAAACAGCAATAACTGTAAAGAATGCATAGCTACATATAGCTGAATAGCTTTATAGCTGAATATAGCTTTTCAGTCAACACAGCACAATAGTTTATGTCTATTAGGATATGTGTAGATTATGTAGAGTGCCTTTGTTGTAGAACAGCAGAAATGAGTGTGTGTGAGGGTGTGTGTGTGAGAAATTACCTGGAACCAAATGGGGCTCCTTGCAGGTTAGGTGGACAGGGACTGGTTGCGGATTCAGTGCTCGTTTTGCTTGAGCAGACAGACCTGTACCCCACTGATACACACCACCTGAACCTTCCCATGTACAAATACACACACAGTGAGTGCAGACAATGTATGAAGGGAGGGACAAAAGAAGGGACAAAGTGAGAGAGAGAAAGAAAATAAGAGAGGTCATACCTGTTACTGCGAGTGCATGTCTAAGCCCAGTTGCTACACTGATGACAGGCTCACTCAACGACTAAAAAGAAAACACTAAACAGAATTATTTTAACTTTTACTACATTATTAACCATTATTCTAAGATGGATTCCAAGTAATGCTGGACAGTATTGCTAAACTTCAATATAAATACATTTTCTAAATATATCGCAATATCAAATGATATCTAAGTTAACATTAATAAAGTAAATCACCCATTACTTCCCAGGTACTGATACTCTTTGCTAATGGAATATCTTACGAATCTGGTATTGCGTGTTCTAATTTGACTGTTTAGCATGTTATACTTCTTATAAAATTACACTAAAAGGAACTGTATGTATTTCTACCAATGTGGGGAAATGAGACATTGCTATTTCAGGGATCAAAGTGTTACAATGGAAGGTTTATGGATTATCTATCAATAGCACCTGAGCTAAAATCAGTCCTGTTGTGTGACAACAATACCAGTACACTGTTATAGACAACATATTGCCCTGCACTAATTTTATGTTTGCAGTCACAAACCCAAAACACACACGGACATTTTCATTGGCATCCATACACTACAAACTTGCAAAAGTATACATTCATTCATTCATTCATCATCTAAACCGCTTATCCTTCTGGGTCGCGGTGGGGTGCTGGAGCCTATCCCAGCTGTCATTGGGCGGAAGGCAGGATACACCCTGGACAGGTTGCCAGTCCATCGCAGGGCAGACAGACAGACATACACATTCACACACTCACTCACACCTAGGGGCAATTTAGCACATCCAATTGGCCTGACTGCATGTCTTTGGACTGTGGGAGGAAACCGGAGTACCCGGAGGAAACCCACACAGACACGGGGAGAACATGCAAACTCCACACAGAAATGACCCTGGTCGCCCGGCCGGGAATCGAACCCAGGCCATTCTTGCTGTGAGGCGACAGCGCTACCCACTGCGCCACCGTGCCACCTAAAAGTATACACACAAAGATTTAATACATAGCATTCAATTTTTTTACCTTGATGAGCAGAGGTTCTGCTGTGTATTTTATCTCTGGTGAGACGCCCAGCTGTCCAAAAGCATTGGAACCACATGCCAAGACATGGCCATCATCTGTCAAACAGAGCCATCCATGTAAATGTCCTCTGAGATATGATCTAGATCAGTCCTATAGGCCAAATTCTAAAATAAATCTAAATGCTCTCTAGTTTTGTGGCAATTAGATTAAAACAACCAAAGGCCTAGATAGTTTTACCTACATCTCTGACGGTGTAAGGCGGAAATGTCAATTTTACTCAATTTTCATCTTACTTCCTACATAGGCAAGGGCCAAGACATGTTTCACATCTGAAGTTTGCATCTTTTATTTGACTCTAGAGCTACAATGCTAATATAAAAAACTCATTCACATAAATACATGTCAGGTGACATTGCCTACCATTACTTTTTAGCTACATTAGCCTTATAGCAGACCTAAAACACTAAATATGCAAAGCACATAAACCAAACATGTCCTGGTAGATCAACTATGGTTGAAGTAAGAAGAAAATTCTGACAACTTGATTTTTCAGTGAATCAGTCCTTTAAGTTACCTGTAAGAAGGATGGTGAAGTCCCAGCCACAAGATACTTGTTGAACAGTCTGACTGCCAGGCAAAGGGCAAAGCCGAAAGGTTGTAACATCTGAGATGTGGCCAAGTCCTAGCTGCCCTTTGTGATTTTGCCCACATACCAGCAGCTCTCCAGTCTCTAGAGAAAGGACAGAGAGAAAGAAAGAGTACTCCTTGTTATTGCAGAAATGACTAGAGGGCACCGTTTCCACAAATACGACCTAAAAGCTGAAACGAGCCTGTCAGATGACCTGTTGACACTGAGGGCACAAGTCAGGTGTACGTGGCAACTATATGAAGCTTTAGTGTTTTAAAAAAGTCTGGATATTGTTTCCCTTTTTACACAATCCACTTCAAAGCGTTTTTACATGTCACATTTTTACATGTCTGTTTTTACAACGTGACTTACCGGTGATGAGCGCTGAATGACCGCCCCCTCCGGTAATAGCCCGGAGCCTTGTCTGTTCCTGTGCGCCGTCCACTCTCTGTGGCTCCGCCTGATCTTCGGCATGGCCCTGCCCCAACTGCCCGAAACTGTTCGCGCCCTGAGAGAGAAACCCACACCATCAACTTATCTTTCATTAAACTTTCTTTTCTGAACGTTTCTTTTCGCCAGTATGCCAGCTAACACTGGATGCAGCGTGTAAGTACTTCCTGCACTTGGAAGTCCGCGCGCACAACTCAAAAAATTCAAAAATTAACGGAAAATCAGCGCATCAACGAACTATCCAACGGTCATTCAGCAGAAACAGGTGAAGACATGACTTAGTTCGTATTGCTAAGAATAACGACATGACACATTTAAGTAATTTAAATGATTTTTTCTTGAATTTATAGTAAATTGTCTAGCTGAATACCAAATTAGCATGTGAGCCTAATGCTGCATTCACATGTGTGCGGTTGACGTCCGACGGCAAACCGGATACTCCATTCTGTTCAGTGGAGCGGTTAGCGGTGAGCGGAACGATCCGGCAAGAGGTCATCTTACCAGTATTACACAAAACACAAAATGAAAGAGTACAGGGTGTCCTCCGGACTCTCATCACCTTATAAAACAATCTACACTACTAGCTAAAGCTCTCTGATAACCATCCATTTTCTCCGGCACCGCGGTCACCATGACAACGTTTGCGCGTCTTCATGCCGCCGTCGGCCGCGCACTGCTGTGAGGTGCTGAATTACGTTTTTTCCACGTAGACGTGTAAACGCAGCATTAATGTGTGTTGGCCTGGTCTGTTATATCGCAAGCGATGAAATATGATCCTAGCTCTCATGCGTATAATGTTTTACTGTATTTTCTAGATTTTTGTTTTGGGCGAAGACCGTAAATCGCAGAGCATAAAATATCTGGCAAAAGAAAACACCGCCCAAACTGTTTCATTACAGTCATATATCCAAGCATCTTGAGCTGTGTTTTCCTTAAGCACAGAGCCCACTGAGGGAAATGGACTGGCCTGGCAATTAAATGTGGTATATGTGGAGTCTCTTGGGGGGCTCTCTAAAACGCTTAACGCGGTTTAATGTACTAAAACATGACATTACATTAACCTTTTTACTCTCAATGGGAACCCATTAGCAATAAAGACAAGGCTTAACGTTTGACCAGTAATACATGAGAGGGTTGCTCTTCGTAGGTCGTTGTTTCAGTACCTTAAGCTTTTTTCCTTTATAATGGGTTTAAATGTGAAGCAAAAATCTTCACGTAAAGATTACTTTAGTACTGGACTACAGGTTTGATAGTAGAGAGTATTCATGACCAGGTATACCTGAGAGAAATGTTGTGTTCCTAGTTGTTGTTTTGGTACATTAAGCCACGGTAAGCCTTTTTTTCACGTTCAGCGTTTTCAGAAAGTCCTCTCTGGATGTGGGTTCAGCCTTTTGTGTTCCTGTAACTTTACTGTGTGTTACTGTATTTGGAACAGGCTGTCAGTGAGAACTTCACTGATGACACAGAGTGTCGTACTTTGTGTTGCGTCCATCTTTTATAATAAGGGTAACGGCAACACATATTACTAGCACTAAACAACTTTAAATTCATGTTCGTCATCCCTGGGTATGTGTTGCACGCTCGCACAGATGGGGTAAAGGGAGATCCCTGGTGGTTTTCAGATGCCGCTTCCTATGTTTTGTCATCCTGCTCGTTGCATCACAACATCATAAAATGACTTGACAGGCCTGACAGCTTGACACTAAAAGTGCATGAGCGAGCCAGCTGACTCCTGACTGTTCTCTCCTCTCACACCGGCAGGCGGAAAAGGTCTTGTTCTACACGTTCTCACTCTGAAACAAAACAACGCCCATCCCTTCATGGAAAAGCTGAGCGCAGCAAGTAAGAAATAGTATAGAAAATACACTCTACTAAAGATCACGCTTAACTGTAGATGCAGGTACTTTCCTAGTGATTTGGAGTGTACTGTATATCTCAGTGTTCACAGTGGGGTGATCAGTATTTGATATATTGTCAAAAACCTACCCACGTGTACAAGGCGCATTTTGTCCTCGGTGTGTCCATCAGTGGGCGCAGCGTGATGACGGTGCACGTGGCGCTGAGAGAACGCCCTTCACATCCGCCATGTTTGGTGTGGCTTTGCACGTTTGCAATGGAGAAACAGCGCCACCAGGTGGTGAAGGATAATAGTACTCGCATTACAGTGTCGTCTTTAGTGTTATGTAGAGTCGTTTTTAAAATGATGTATGAAGCGCTGATTTGGACCCAGCCGTTCGTGTCAAGTTAAGTAAATTAATAATGCACCTTAGAAGAATTGACCCTGGGTCAGAGCATGACCATCCAATCAAGTGTCTTCTTAGAGCCAGTCCGAAATGTACAGGCTCCTGTGCAGCTTTTGCGTTAAGTGGTTGTACATGGTCAGTCCTCTTTTAGACAAATGCAGTTATTTTCACAGAATAGCATAAAATATTTAAATACTTTGCTTTTCAAGTCCACCTGACTTTATAACTGTAGCTTATGCACATTCATGACCTCAGTATGTGCAAACTGCCATGCAGGGAGCATGTCAGTACTGTGTTATTATTCCCTTGACAGCATTACTTTGAACATTGCTCCATTCCCATGGAATCATTCTATCACATTTTGATTTACAGTGGGCAGGACCACGACCAATTTCGTCACTCTAGGCCTTGTGGAAGTTGTAGATACATCACTGACTGTGTTTTAATTATTAGAACTGGAAAACAGCAGCAACTTTATACCAGGGCTCTTTACTGCGACAAAAAATGTTCATGTGAAGCATTGTTAACTTAGCTTAACATATTAGCAGACTCCCATGGGGACGATAGCAGAAATTAGCATTATCATAGAGGTGTTTTTTCACTCGAAGTTTGGACATTTATCGCCCAAACTGAAGGCCTAGTCATGGTTTGCCACAGTTCAGAAGAAGTCCCCAGCTGAACCGTAGATTCGTTCAAGTGAGGTCTGCTGTTTTAGCCATACAAAAATAGGTATACCAGGAAATTGCACCCACCCGAACATACAAACATGCAAACAACATAAATTCTGTTGTGGTACAAAAATAAGGAATTTTATTAAAATGAGCTTCTACACTTCTACATTCAACAACAACAAGCAATTTTATACTTGAAGTGTTAGTAGGAATGACATACGATAGCTATTTGAGAATACAAACATCTAGATTAATTATCTAGAAGCTTAAGCTGTCTTGACACTGATTTGTAAAAATTATCCTTACATAACAAAGACGTAATAACATTAACGATTTTTATTCTAAATGAAAACAAACTCATTTTGTATAAGAAAAGATTAAATTAAGCATACAAGACATGAGACACAGCTAACAACATGGGGAGATTTAAGAAATATTATCAGAACGTGATAGAATTAGGTTCACATTGAGACAGAACAAAACATGTACTTGTCCTTTTCCCCTAATACTGTATATAGAGAAAAATAAACAGATAAAGATGATACTAAAGCTTCAAGGTACAAGCTCATAATAAATAACAAATTATAATGAAAAAGGTGCCTTACAATGCCAAGATGACGTTCAGTGACTTCTACACAAAAAAGCTGAAATCACAAATGCATTATTTTTACAAGAGCAAACATCATTTTATTACAATGACCATGTAAAGAGTAATGGTCATAAGAGTAGTGTAAAAGATGATTTTGATTTACTCATTTAATCTTTACCATTGCATAAATCTGGCTAGAAATCTCTTTTAAAATGAAAAGTACAATTAACAGTAGGCTGTAATGATTTTAAAAGGGTTTAAGAAATTGTCCTTAGATAAATAAGTTGACTTTGTCTGCTTAGATTGATCAATTGTATTTTTATAAATACAAAACAAGGCATATTATTTTTTACAGATAAACTATTTGGAAAAAAATTGGTCTTGGAACTTGAAACATTTCAGTGTGTTTGCTCTTGATGGAAAAAGTAATATATAAAACATGACTTGTGAGATAGTCGTTCAGACGCCCAGATGTTTGTTGAGTCTGTTTAGTGCATCTCCCACGATGTCCAGTTCATGTCTCAGTTCTTCCACTACACTGTTGATGCTGGTTGTGTCCTTCAGCACATCCACGCTCTGTGTGTAGGGGTTGTAACGCACCGTGAATGGTCGCTTGATTGTCTTTGCAAACTCCCTGAAAAATTGAAAATGAATGAAATCTTGGTAAATAGTGTTAAATCGCATCTATAATAGCCAGAGAGAGTAAATTAATCTAAGTATGGATCATTTGATGTCGGAAAGGCAGAAATTAAATTCCATAATACTACACATTTCCTTAGTAAACTTTCTTCTTTAGCTCCACATACCTCATTTTGACTTTGGCTTCTTCAAAGCTGTCTGACACAAAGTACACGTCTTGAAATGTGGTTATGATGCACTCCTGTTTGCAGGTGACTTTGGGGTCAAAGGGCATGATTCGGGCATTATCTGACAGAGCATGCTGAAAGAGAAATATTTTATTTAGCCAACCAGCACATACGGAACCTGGAGATATATTAGCAAAACCATATATTTAAAGAAATGTGAAAGCCTGACCATGCAGGCAGTATTCTTATTCTTATTACTCTGTGTGTACAAACTGTAAGTTAGCAACATTACCTTTAACTCACTGATGGAGGACAGCAGTCCTGCCCCATACGCTCTCAGTTTCCCCTCTTGCTTGCACAGCCCAAACTCCACAGTGAAAAAGTAACACTGAAAACAGCAGCAATTGTCACCCAGTTTGTAAGTGGTCAGTGTGCAGACTGGTTTGTTAAATGTGATAAAATTTGTGCCAGTGTACTAAAAATCTACTAGACTATTTAAACTGTAAAATCATCAGTGATAATAAACAGATACTCATTCTAAATCTCATTATGACAGTTAAAGATAATTACTCACAGTGGCAAGTTTCTGAACTGCATCATCAGATGCTCCCAGCGAGGCGAGTCCTATCTCCTGACTGAACTGGGCAAAGCTAGGCTCAGCCAGAAGAGGTACATGACCTAACAGTTCATGACATGTGTCTCTGAAACACACAAAAATAGCAAAACACTCTGCTGAATCCTAAACAGACTGTAGTTATTCAGACTCATACTGCAGTCACTTATTTTAAACAAAGTTTTCATTTTCTCCTAATGCAGCTTAAAGCCTAAAATGTGTTTCATTGTAAGATTAAGTGAAGATCTTAAACTGTTTTACTTATACTAAAGATTTTAAGAAACCTGTGACACACACAGTAATGCTTAAAGGACTCATTTAGAATATGTGCATATTGTTTTTTTTGTACTTACGGTTCAGGTGTGTAGAGAGGATCAGAGCTGTGCCGGACGTACTGTGTGCAGTGGAACACACGGAAGGCCAGACCAGCCAGAAAGTCTCTGGGGGAGAGGTACCCTGCCACGGGTCTAATGGTGAACCCCGTACGTTCTGAGGATATAACAATATAATTAACACTACAGAGGGCCTGAACAGTGGTCTTGTAGCTCTCAAATGCGCCATCATCTAAACTTACACATATACCTGTACACACTCACACATAATGCGTAATATACAGAGTGTGGTGCCCCTGTCTCACCTCTTAGGAAGCGTGAGACATCTTCCAGCTGGGGAATGTTGTCCTCACGATACTCGCAGTACTTGGTGAGCAGAGGTAAGTTCTTCAGGTATTCACGGCAGGCATGAGAGGGATACAGCTTATTGAGCTCTCGGAACACAACCCCCCATGTCTTTACCTCCTCTTCTGTGAACTCAATGCGTGGAATGGAGTCTCCACTGGTGGAGGGAAACAATGCAAAAAAATAAACATACTTTATATATGTTGCAAAAAAAGGAAATATATATGAAGTATACTTGAAGATAAATGGTGTATAATGAGATTATTTTTTCTCAAGTGACTTACTGCTTGTAACTCATAGCCAGATCTGCAAAATACTTTCTCCGTTTGCGATAGACATTGTCTTTAAAGCCCTGCAGACCAAAAAAGGGACAGTGAGGGAGGGACATTAGACACTGAGACCAGCAAGAGGCCCAGTTTTAAAGTAAACTGGTCCAAAATTTGAATAATTGCAACAGTAAAGGCTTTCAAACAGCAACACAGAAACTAAACAGGGCCAGTACATCATTTTATTTGTCTAATTGTGTTAGCAGTGGCAAATTTCCTGAGACACATTTGCAGTGCTTACCGGGTGGTCGGCATCCAGGTCTGATCCATACATCAGCACACGATTAGCACATTTATCCAGGTCAGAGATCTTTTTGGGAAACCAGGGCACATTATCCATCTCTATAGGAGAATAACACATATGAATTATTTTCCGTGAAAGAAAGGTGACTGCTTTGTTTTTCCCCACAAATAGTTTTGTTCTGAAATTCATAAGTCATTCAGTCACTCAGAGCAGAGACTCAGACTCCTACCGTCCTCCTCCGGCAGGATCTTGCTGGGCGCCTCCGTCTCCAGCACGTTCACGTGTTTCCGCAGCAGCTGGATGATCTCGTTGAGCTGCTCGTGGTTGCCGTCGCAGTCCACCAAGATCTCAAACTCCGAGTTGCGCCTCCTCGATATCCTCGATTCAATGTGCACGAGGTTGACGTGGTTTTCCTAGTTGGTCAATTTATTTGAAATGGTAGGAAAGAGGAAAAAAAATCTTAACGTCGTTTGCTTTGAGGCTGAATTGTATGTAACAGAGTTAAAAATGTAAAGAAAGAGAAGTAGTATAAGACCCATTTCTTCTCTATTAACGTTAGACGATGTTTAATTCCTGTCCTATAATCTTAGTGGATAAAGTCTGATTACCTGGAACAGTTTTAGTGCTTTGACAAGCCCCCCGACTTCATTCTTTAGGGAGAACACGATAGCTGCACGACCTTTCTCTGCAGACTCGCTCTTGTTATCTTTGTTCTCATCTATCTTAGGATAGGCAGATTTGTTCATCTGTAAAAGAAGCAAAAACAGCGTCATTCCCTTTTGCATCGTTCCCATAAATCTCTCTGGAGCGCAACAGTATAGCCCACTTTTCTTGTGCTGTAGCAGATCTGCGATTCATAGTAACGACCAAATAAACAGTTTTAATTCAGCTAAATATCAAATGAACTGATTCGCTGATTTTATATCATCAGCACTTCTCAAAAGCTGTTTTCAGGCGCGTGTCAGTCAGATTGATGTGGATTAAGCGGAAGAAAACAATCGCTTAAGAGCTCCAACAGGACCTTCGTCACCCTCAGTACACACAGGCTGTAGTGTCTGACAGTTTGAATGTAAAAGAAATCCAGTCGGGTAAGAAATAAAGCCTTTCCCTTTCGTATAGCCAAGACTTTCATTCATTATGTGCTACTGAGAATACTAGACACCCCCAAGCCAGTCAACGGGCGAGTGAGTTTATCCAATTAAAGCCTTTGGCACGAGACCGTCTGCGACCTATTTGCTCCCCTGCGTCAATTCAGCACCACAGACAGCGCCAGAGCTGCACTGCTAGACTTCAAACCGAGAACACTTCAGCTTTAGGATGTTCTGGGTTTGAATTTCTAAGACGACGAACTACTTCTTGCGTCCTTCCCAGCCTAATCATCATTCCCGAGAGGCTTCTCGTCTACCAACCATGGTTCTTTGCGCGAGAATGGGGGAAAGCAGCTGCAGCTGCCGCTGCCCGCGTCTTCCCATCAGAAGGATCCCTGACAGCATCGGTGCATTGAGAGCGGGGCTCACGGCTCAGGGTCAATCTCACAGGTTAGAGCCAGTCTCTCGAGTCAGAACCAGTCCCACGGGTCACTCATACCGTCTCGGTTTAATAGAGACAGGCCGGTGTCTGTCTCGCAGAGCCTCCTTACAGAGCAATCCCATTTGGAGAACGAGGAAGCCTATTATTAGCCCGTCTTACCTTAATCTAACACGGGATTAGGCTGCAATTAATCACTCTTCTACGCGCATTGCTCTTAAGTGTATTTCATTAAGATGTACCTTTGCCGTGTAGCGCTCAGCAAAGAGCCTTGGCGTAATTTGTAAGAGTGCGCTACTGGGACGTCAACGAACAAGCTGCCTAGCTCTCCTCTCTCATTTCCTTTCCTGACGTCCCTTTTGATTTCACGTGTCAGCTTCATCGTTTACAGTGTCTCTGCGCCTGGACCTTTACGGGCTTTAAGCTCTTCTCGCCTGATTTTCCTCAGATTAATACTTTTTGATGAGAAGCGCCTGCAGACTCAGCCGTTGCGCGCACGTTTCCTCAGGACTGCGTGTGCTGCGCTCTTGACCTTCTTAACGCTTGACGCACTGCTTTTCTCACGGCTTAACGAGTTTATTCAGAAGGGCCACCGCGCCAGAGCTGTGATAAATAACCACTTTGAATAAGTTCCCAAGTCTGAATGTCAGCAAAAGCAACGTATTGTTTTCTTATGCTCCATATTATGCTGAGAATAATTGTACCAAAATCCACTGAAATTATATTCTCTAAGTTGTGTTGACTCCACACACCCCGTCTCGTCTCCAGGCTTTTTATTTTATTGTTCTGTTTTAAAACATTAGGTTCTAAAAAAAAGTACAATTATGTATTTTTCACCTGAGAAAAACTTGTTTAAGCTACACAGTTCGACCTTAAAACCACTGTTGTACCTCTGAGGGAACATTTACATAGTTTGTACCTTAATTTAGCTGCACAGTACGTTAATTTCAGTGCAGCGTCTAAATGTAAAGCCAGAGGGAGCCTGTTTGTTGTTAGTTGTCTGCTGTTACTTTTTGAAAAACAAAAAAAAAGAAAAAAAAAACAGGTTGGCATGTGCAGTTCAGACACAAATGTGTCGTAATGATGTGTGAAGTCTTACCTCATTATTGAGTTGCTTTTCTTCCAGAGACAGCCCGATGTTCATAGAGTCGAATGATCTTCCTCTGCGCGGGCCCTCGCTTTTGGTCGAGTACATTGTGAGCTGGCGATGCTACTATTTATTTACCTGGGGTCTGATTATGATCAGCCTGTTTCCTTCCTCAGTTTGCCCGGGATGGAATAATACACCGAGGCAGAGCGCTTTGGTATTTATGAACGCCAGTGCGCGGGCAGGAGGGGGTGGGGTGGGGTGTAGCTGCACGGACCGGAGGCCCGATAATCTTCCCCAGGAGAGCAAATGGAAAAAGAGGAGCACTGCCCACGTCATGCAGACGTTCTCGATAGAAGAAATACTTTTTTTCGTTTACTTTCTGATGATCTGCACGCACACAAAACAGGCAACTATGGAAATGCAGTGTTTTCGTCACCGACGCTTGTCGTGAGTCACGTAAAACTGAACAAGCAAAACTCCAACCACGACACCACGACTTAGACCAGGAGCTGCTGCAGAGACAGAGCAGAACGGGATGGTTCATTTAAATGACTGTCATATTAATGAGAATCTCGTTTGCCACTATAACTTTTCACACATCATAAGAAAACAGAAGAGGGAGGAATTCCTACAACCATTTCAAGGGAGAGGATATGTTGTATTGTGCCTCCTAAACCTTTAAGCCCACTTTCAGGTCACTGGCTTCCTAGTATCTCCAGTAACTTCTGCACGTTTTCGAGTGTTTATTCGCTGTAGAATTTGGTTTCTTTTCTGTTTTATAATGTGGGCATAGACATTCACTTGCCATTTCAGTAGCTATGAATTTAGCTGTCTGTGTGTCTTTAGTAATTTTGGTCACAGGCTTTCAGATTACACATACTGTAATTTGGCTATGGTTGGGGGCACAAGTCTACTTAGTAAAATTATACAGAAGCTCAAAATGAAGGTGGGTTGTTAGGCACAGCTGAGCAGATGTGATGTGATAAAGACCTGAATACCCAAAAGAAACCAGCTTTAGACACCAAAATGTTACATGCCTTATCATTGTAAAAGGAGAGGGACACTACTTAGCTAATTGCGCTTACCTCTGGATAACCGTCTGCGCTTTGTCTGACACTAAGCCAACGACCCGCTGATATTAGACTGGGTTCTGTTGAAAGCCTGTTCACCCATTGTTCAAAAAATATCTTGTTAGTTCTGTCTCTGATTGTCCACCTCTCTGTCTCTTAAAGTAACCAGAATTTGTTAATTAACTGCTTTAGTTGTCTTTTGTGCCACACTCTCAGAAAAAAGGTAGTAAACTGTCACTGGGGCAGTACCCCTCTTGTCAATGGGGTGGTACCCACAAGGGTTCATCTCAGTACCTTTAGTCAGGGATCATAATTGTACCATAATCCACAGAAATGATATTTTCTAAGTTGTATTGACTCCACACACCCCGTCTCGTCTCCAGGCTTTTTATTTTATTGTTTGGTTTTAAAACATTAGATTATGAAAAAGAACAAATGTGTACTTTTCACCAGGGAAAAAGTTATTAAGAGTCACAATTGGACCTTAAAACAATTACATGGTTTGTACCTTGATGAATGAAAAATGTACTTACACAGTACTTTCATTTCTAACAGTGCACTATGTGACCCATAGTATATGTTGGGCTAGATATTTTCACTAACAGAAGGTGTATGTAGGGCACAACCTAATGAGTTGCAAGAAATAACATACTCATGTAAAGATATTTGGTCCTTTTTGTCATATTCACATTGCATCGTCATCTACAATAACACAGCAATCACACATATGTTTCAAGACATTCACCCCAATGGCTATTAAATTTTCTCCTAGGCCTATATTATTTTGCTCACTCTCTTGCTGACTGCACCATTACACCATTTTGAAGCGCATAACCGACTCAAGAGCTAGCAAGAGGTAATTTAACGCAGTGGTGCAACTAAAGGGAACAACGAGAGAAGCCTGTATTCTCCCCCATGTAAATTCAAATCAGTTCTTTTTAGGAATGTTTTATTTACAAAATCATTAATATGTACAATAGATATCGTGTAAATAAAATATATTCCGATTTCATCATGATAATGTTTGCTGTTCTGCTCTGTGGTCAGAAATACTTTTGCCAATCTTTGACACAGCCTCTTTTCACAAATTATATTTAATTTGATCCATACATCACTGCTGTCAGAAGAAAGCTGTCAGTTTTTGACATAATTTGAAAATGCCTGTTGCCCTTTACATTGTGTGTAAATTTCATGAAGAATGGACCAAATGTAACAGCCCCAAATGACTTGGAAAAAGTCTGGTTCCACTGATTTACATCAAAAGTAAAGTAGGTTTTTTCCTTTTCCTGTAAAGTTATCATTTTGGAGATAAAAGGTTTTCTTCCAACAACATTATTTATGTGCTGGAAACAGTTTACGTTTTCATTTGTAGCAAAGATGTGCAGTTTCATTGCATAAAAATAACAGCTTCATTATCACCTCATCAATTACATGATAGCATGTCAAGTCCAAGTAATTAGCTGCTTATTTTTAAATATACAAAGCAGAAATATAGAAGATAGTAAAACATATAGGCACATGGAAAAATTAATATAAAATTAATAATTTGTCTGTGACATTCACACTATTTAATTTATGTATTTTCCTGCTGTTCTTGAGCATTAACATCTAAAATCGTGTATTATGCAGTAATTTTCCTTTGCACTCACAAGTCCAGCTTGTCAGTAGTAAATTTATTCTTCGGAATCTGTAAAATGTTAATTTTGACATGATGTGTGCTTTAGCTAAATATTTGAACACACACACACACACACACACACACACACACAAAAACACACACACAAACACACACACACACACACATATATATATTAGAGCACAACTTAGAAAAGCTACTCAAATTTATTTTTCTTTATGTACTATAAGGTAGTACATATGGTCTGTCTGTGGGTCAGTGATTTTCCAGGCTTTGTGCACATGAAGGGTCAATGGGTGTATGCTAAGAGGATTACGTCTCACCTTTATTTTTCCTGTGTGGGCATAGTGTCCCAAGGTTGCTTATCCAAGGTGGCACACCCCACAGGTGCCAGGTTTTAGCAAAGTAGAATTACAATGAAAGAGCTCAGAGAGGATGATCTCTCAGGACCCTCGAGACTGCAGACTTCTTTGTGTCTGATAGATGAACCTCTCACACTCTGAAGTTTAAATATACTTAAAGCAGCTAACCTAAATGCATGGTGGCGCATCTGGGATTTAGGACCTGGAGGGGTTTTCAAGACCTAATGCTGTCGACCCTCCTCAGGGTCTTTGTTTAGGAGTGCATGTATCAGCCACATGAGCAGCCTCCATCAGGTGGCCCATGAGGCACAGCTCCCGTGACAGGATATCAGACTTACACAAGGCACAAAGAAAGGGGAAAAATAGGCATTGAAGGGCACTTCCTGCTGGTGAAAAAGTGGGCATGGATACTTTTTTTCTTACAAACAACACAATGCCAGTACAAACGCTGCTTGGAAAGGAACATGGGATAGCTGGGGTTATATAAATGATTTCTTATTCATGAAGTTACATAACTGCTGGAGGAGACATTTATAAACATTGGAAATTAAAGTGAATGAAAGACTGTTATAAGGCCTGTGCACTTATATGTTCTGTCTGTATTTGAAAACTATTTTTACCCAATAGCAATCCTAACATTAGTCTGTGCTCCTAAAATACCCCAGTGTGACACTCTGAGAATAAGGTACTACAGGTGTGTATGTTTAATGTGCGTGGGCCGTGGGTGACGGTGTGTAAACTCAGAAGGGCTGATGAAACTCACCTGGCGGAAGGCAAACAAACTCACTTCGACACAAGGTAGCTGTTGTGGGGCCTGGATTGGGGGTAGACAAAGAGGATCAAAGCACAATCCTCTGAGATCTGGGGAGAAGAGTGATATACTTCAGTGACAGACTTGATAAACACCAGGTCACATCTACAGATACAGGGCCTGATGCATGTCCTTAATGAGGTTCTTTGGTGTGTCACTGTGTGCGTTAGGATAGAGCTGGGCTGTCCGATCTGCTGTAAATCCCAGTGATCTCACAGGGTATGTTTTATTTGCCTTGCTGTATGCATCACCAAAAGCCTACGCACAACAACACAGGTCACCACAGTGAAGGTCAAATATTTGTCCGGTGTATAGCCAGAAAATACAGAAAGGTCTCTAAGCGGGAGAAACAATGCTTTCAGCCTTTTAGCCGCAGGAGAGGACTAAAAGATCCAACTCATACAACTGCTTTTGTGTAGTACTCCTTCACACATGGTGTTAATCATTATGGAGGCGTATATGTCATAGGTCAGTGTAATGAGCACTCTATGGTGTGATGTGCTCTCTCTGACCCACTGGGTAATTAGGTGAATATGCTGCTAGCTGGACAGAAGCTACACAGTTCAATTAAGGACATGGTGTCACCTTAAGCCTTTGAGTGTTCATATATACGGTAATAACTAAAATCCGGTTTTGGTCAGCTGAAAGGAAAGAGCAAAATAACTGAAAGCCTTGCCCTTCAGCACTGATGATTCTGTGGTACGTTTAGGTGACCAGGAAGCATTAATTATTAATTGTATTCATTCATTCATCCATTCAAAAAAATAAAAATAAATAAACAAAACAAAAAAAACAGTTGATCTGGATAGACAAAACACATAAATGTGTGAATCAATGAAGAACAGAAAACTGGAAAAACAAAGTATAAAAAAGTAATGCATAATTATAACTTCAATAAACCTAGCATAATATACAATATGACGCAGTATTAGTGCAAGCTTATTCCCCCCCAACCTTTTACCTCTCTCCACACAAAAGGAGCTCAATGTTAATTAAAGCTAGGGCATTGTGCAGGCTCTGGCCCTTTGTGCTGAAGAGGCTCTCAGCTGCTACAGAGAAAGAGCAGTGCTACTGTGAGCTCAACAGTGCCCACTCATCTCATTAAAGACTCACCTCATTGCATAGCCAGCACACTTGCTGGACAACCAGTAAAATGTACTACAAATCTGGATTTATGGCTTATAAACCTAACTTTGTGTTCGGCTTGCGGCAGCACTTATTTCTTGTTTACCTTAAGGCTACATTAAAATAGGTCAGTTAGGATTCTAGAGTACTATGTAAAAGTCAG